AAAAACTTCTACTTTTTGTGTTTGTTTTTTACGTATTTGTGTGAAAAGTATTACAGTACAGTACTATATGGACAATTTTGTTAGCTGGGTACCTAGGCTAACTTTGTTGGACTTAACGAACAAATTGGACTCAGAATGGAACTCATTTGTATGTAGGGGACTTACTGTACTGTGATTTTTAAATACAATTATAAAATATCGGAGTATAACCATGTTTTTATTAAAATATATATTGTAAATATGTGTGTATGTGTGTGCATTGAAATATCCTGGAAGATTATATACCAAAACGTTATCAGTGGTCATTTCTGAGTCGTAATTTTTTTACTTGTTGCTAAATTTTCTAGTTTACATAGTAAATAGAGCTAAGTTGTCTATTTTTTTAAATAGTAAACAATTCCATCGTGAACTACTTAAATAATTTTCAAAAGCATGATTTTAATATCTTCTAAGTTGTATATAGATTTGCTCAGGCTATTGTTAGATATATAAATTCTAGCCATTTTTAAAACTCAGATAATTTTTTTTTACACTTTTTAAGCCAACTTTTCTATCTACAGCTTTTTAAAGGCACTTTTTGAAAATGTTGCTAAAGGGCCTGGGCTCTTTTTAGACTTCATCTAAATTGACCTCTAGGCAAAATTCAAAATATGAGGGAAACAAATAAGGTGCTATGATTAGAGGAACATATGTTCGATAAGGCAGTCAGGGAGGGCCTCCATGAGAAGGTGACATACAAGCTGAAATCTGAAGGAAAGGAGTCATCCACAGAGGATTGGAGAGGTGGAGGGACACAGAGCTTTGTAAGTACAACAGCAAGAACAAAAGTCCTCATTGAGATCTTGACATGTTTGTTTAAAAAAAAAGTCCTAGGCCAGTGGCTGGAACGTGGGCAGGCAAGGTGGTAAAGAGAAGCATATATGAAACCAGGCTGGAGAGTAGGCCGGATTTAGAAAACACCTTACCAGCTCCAGCACGAGTTTATATTTTATTTGAAGAGCCATCAGAAGCTCTTTAAGAATCTTTCATAAGAGATTATTTTTTGAAAATTACACTGACTATTGTATAGAAAAATCTTGGGAGACCAGTTTAGGAGGCTACTGTAGCAGTTCATGTATGAAATTTGGATTACAGAAAACTGTCATTTCCTTAGCATACAGAGTTCTTTTAAGACAACAAATAAAATGAGATATTTACTTAACATGAACAGGAAATTCACAGATTAATAAATGTCACGACATAAACTCACCTGTAATTTAAGGCATAGCAAACAGATAAAATTATATTTTTCACCCATCAGCAAAGTTTCACATTGAATCTGAAATTTCTATTTTCTGATCAATTTCCATTTTTCTACATAATATTGTTCTCTGTGATATTGAGAGTATTGGTGATGCAGAATTTCTTAAAACTTAAAAAAATACTTTTCTTAAAATTCATTTCTTAAAAAATTTTTTAAAATATCAGATAACTAATTTGTTTACCCTTTTCTTTACTACCTTTTCTCTCTCCCAGGCTTTAAAGGCAGACTTTTTGAAAGTGTTACCTCTTTCTTCCAAGTCATTCACACCCAATCTGCAAGGTTTGCTGCCTCTCTGCTTTGAAATTTCTTCCATCTCTTCAGAAGGATTTAACAGTTTCCTGTCCTGAGACGCATTGTATAATATTCAATAGAAAATTCTTTGGGGTCATTTCTCAGTAACAAAACTTGACCCAGCCTGAACTCTATGTGGGTATCTTATTTTAAGTCCCCTGAAGCACCGGTTGTTGCTTTCTAAGAAAATATAGAATTCTGATTGTTCTTGCAACAACTAATATTTACATCACTAGTACTGAATGTACCTGTTGCTCCATCTCCTTATCCTTCTGCATTTATAGTAACTTCTTGTTTTAATGTTGAAGTGTAATAATCTTTTGGGAAACTTGTAAAAATTTTATTGAAGCATAATACATAGAGAAATGTGTACAGCTTAATGAATTTCCCCAAATAGAATACACTTATTTAGTCGGCCCCTAGATCGAGAAAACGAAATGAGTACTTTCACTGATGCTACTAGAATCTTACACTCAACTCCATTCATCCCCTCCTATCAAGTGTTACTGTCATGCTTCTTTAGTTTCATGTATATTTTAAACTCCAGCTGATATTATAATTGTTGTGTTGACAATATTCATTTGTATTTCTTGCGGAGTCATCTTTTTAACAGCCATTTAAAATGTGAAAACCTTTCTTAGCTTACAGGCCCCGATATAGCCCATGGGCCTTAGTTTCCCAATACTTGACATATTTACCCCTTGTGTTCTTTACTGCCTGCACTGCAAGGTTTCCATCTAGGACCAGTTCATACTGTCTGAAGAACTCATCTTTAATGTTTCTTTTAGCACAGGCATGCTACACAAGTTCCCTCCATTTTTGTTTATCTGAAACATCTTTATTTCTGCTTTATCTCTAAAGGACTTTTAGCTTGGTATAGACATCTAGATTGGTCGAATATTTTTTTTCCTTGTCAGCACTTTAAAGGTGTTGTTTCATTATCTTCTTCCATCGTTTCATTTAAGATGGAAACTTGCAGTCTTCCTGTTGCTGCTGTGAAAGTAGTCTCTCCCCTACTCTGTACCAGCTTCTGATAACCAGGCTTTATCTTTTGTTACAATGTGCATAGTTGTGGTGATGTCCCACTTTAGCCTGCTTGGAACTTGCTGAGCTTCCTGAACCTGAGGGCTGATATCTTGCATCTCTTTGCAAGGTTCTTCACTAACTCCTCAAATATTTCTTCTGTCATCCTCTTCTTAAAAGACTAACTAAACACATTAGAACTTTTGAGTTTGTCCTAAATGTCTATGTCTTACACTCATCTTTTTTCCCCTTCTCCCTTCTGTTTAGTATGGATAATTAGATAATCATGACAACAGAGTAATAAAAATATTATAACTGTTTCAGAGCTATCATGGTTTCCTTCCTATGTTTCACACAAAGTTTTCACAACTTGAATATGCAAACCTAAGACAATTGTGTGTCTGTAATACAAACTCCTTATAAGTTTGTTGTAAGTTTATATTATAAACTCCTAGATCAAAATGTTCAAATTGGATGTTTAGCCCTTCACACGTATTGAGATGGTCACACTATGTATCACCATTATCTCTTTGTCAAACCAATTGGAACTGAAATAATGTATTATACAAGAATTTAAAGTACATCATATGCTTTATTCTGTTTGCTTTTATACCTTAATGTGTCTGGCTGGCTATTGCTACTGAATTTCATCTTGAAAAACAGGAAGCTTTACTTTTGGTCTTCTGCTACCTCTGAAAAGTGCCACAGCTTATAAATGTTAAATACGGAAAGATATAACACAGACTTGTGTGCTGAAATTGACTGAAAGCAACTATGAACCTTGCCAGCACTGACTTGCTATGACAAAGAAAGCATACTGTATAAATGAAAATATCCACAAACTATTCACTTTGTTTTTTCAGTGGCAACAGTGTTTTGACATATCTTTTACTGTATAGCCTAGGAATTAACTGTATTTTGATTTAGTGTATTTAATACATTGTCTGTATTTTAATTAAATTAAAAATAATAGCATAGTTATTTTGTGAAATATTTTACCACAAATGAACAAGAGGACTTTTTTGGTGAGTTACATAGTTCAGAATGATGTTGCATGAAGTAAATTTTAGGGGAAATTTCTTATTTTTGATAAAAATGATTCAAGCAACATATTTGGTGAGCTACCTGCAAAGGCACTCCCTTTCCTGAGTGCCCCTCACTCACCTGATCATAGGCCTCTTCCCACTTTTTTCTCCATCATACTTCACTCTCCCCTGCTCCATTAAGGAGGTCACATTTGCTTTCGAAATAAAAGTCCTGCTTACTAGGAGAAAATAGATAATTCAAAATATTATGGTTTTCCTAGACCCTAGGGAAGAGACGCTATTACACGAAGAACAAAAACAGAAGAATGCATGCCATTTCCTACTTGGGCCAATTTTAAAACATTCCCTCAAGAACATGGAGTACAAATTCAGCCAGGCAACTTACAGCCCACCCCCTGATACTTCCTATGGAGAAGGCAGATACCTAAATTCAGATTCTGAATTTGGAGGATTGGTAAACTCCTTAGGCCAGAGTCCCATAGTTCTCCATCATTACATTCCTATATAAAAAACTGGGGGCAGGGTCTAATCAGTCCCACTCCTCCTGGGAGAAGTCTATGGCCACACCTCTGAATGTTACACACCTCTGAGATGACAAATACATTCTTGTTCACCAAAGACTGCCACAGGATGTGAGGGAAATTATTAATACTAGCCACCACTATAGGAAAGAGGGTATTTATACAGTGGAGTTGTTCTGATAGTTTGAGGCTTTGAATGGCTCTAGAAAAGTAAATATTAGGCAACAGCTGTGTGTTTTGTTGTTACATTGAATGGAAAAGAAATATGCCAGCCTCTCACTTTGTAAAAGAACAATTATATATGCGTGAAAAAATATGCTTAAATAAGGCACTCATTCAAGTTCTAAATTACATATTTCATGTACTAAACGCAAGAGAAGTTCTTGAAAGGAGGCAATCAGATGCTTTAAAGGTAAGATAACCTTTACAATGGGAAAATAAAGTTTGGGCAGGTGTATGTGGAGATGAAAACAATATGATTTATTTGGACAAATATGTGCTTACAGAAGAAATGTTCTTACTGAAAATGGAACAAAAGAGGTAAACAACCTTGACATTTTCCTGTGATGTGCCTTATTTACATTTATTTCAGACTAAGACATCTAGTCAGATTCAAGGGTAAACATGAATTAGCATAACCTTAAGTCCAAACTCTGTCTCAAAATTAAAACCATAATATATCTAAAGATGTTTCTATAATGTCTGTATGTTTTTAAAAAAGCATGCTACTCCTCATTGTTGATGTCAATATTGTGATAGTTGCATATTCAGAATCACACATGCTGTAGGAAAAAAATTCAGCCAATACTACATTAATTTACCATGAATCAAGATTTATTCGTAGCTTTTCTGAATTTGCTTTGAAACAAAAAAACAAAACCCAAACAAACATCCCCCTGTAAAAAATCCTCCCACACCGATTCTCTCCAGTATAACTTCTCAGAACTCTTATGACTTTGCCACGCTCATTACAATGGTAGTTTTTCCCCAGGATAATTCTGTAGGTTTGAAATACTGCAGAAAGTCACTCTATGTTAAGTTCATTTATAGGGTTGCTTTTTCTCCTTAGAAGAGTATTTAAGAATTTAATAAATATTGCATGGTACATGAAGGCATTCCCAAATCATTGTTTGTATGACTTTCCTTCATTATGAATTTTCTGATGTCCAGGAAAAAGTACACCCTTACCCATGTGTTCTGTCCTGTCCTGAGCTGACAGATGCAGAATGAGACCTAATCTCTAAAAGTTTTCTCACATTTATTGGACATGTATCCTTTCCTGATAGGAATTTACAAATGTAGATTAAGGGAATCCTACCAGATGAAGAGTCTTCTTAGTATTGTTTGATTCCATCTTCTGGTATTACAAAAAGAATGAGCAGCTATTAATGGCTTTCCCATACATTCCTTGGGTTTTTCTCCAGAATACTGAATAAAGCAGAGACCACATTTCATCACAATAAGCACATTCACATAAGGCTTCTTTCCAAGAGTTCTCTGAAGTCAAAGTAAGGCATTAGCTGCTTTTTTTTTTTTTTAATCCATACATTCTTAGGTTTTCTCTACAGTGTGAATTCCCTGGTGTTCAGCAAGGAATGAGTGGTAGTTAAATGAATTTTCATATTCATAGGGGTTCTCTAGTGTGTGTGTTCTCTGATGTTTAGTAAGGTTTGAGCTCCAGCTGAAGGATTTATTGCATACCTTACATACATAGGGCTTCTCCCCAGTATGAGTTATCTGATGTAGAATGAGGGAAAAGCTCCGACTAAAGGTTTTGTCACATTCAGTACATGCATAGGGCTTTTCTCCAGTATGAATTCTCATATGTTGTACAAGGGATGCATGCCACGTGAAAACTTTACCACATTCATCACATTCATAGAGCTTTTCTCCAGCATGAATTCTCTGATGTTTAATAAGGAATGAGTGGCAACGGAAGGCTTTACTGCATTCATTACATTCATAGGGGGTTTTGGAGGTATGGACACTCTGATGCCGGGAAAGGTGTGAAGAACGGCGAAATGCCTTCCCACACTCAATGCATTCATAAGGTTTCTCTCCAGTGTGTGTAATCTGATGGCGAATGAGTTCAGAGCCACTGCTAAAGGCCTTCCCACATCTCCTACATACATACTGTTTCTTTCCTATGTGAATTCTCTGATGTCGAGTGAGGTTTGAGGCACGGCTAAAGGCCTTTCCACATTCGGTACATTCATAGGGTTTCTCCCCAGTATGTGTTCTCTGATGTTCAATGAGGAATGATAAGTAACTGAATGTTTTATTACAGTCTTTACACTCATGGGGTTTCTTTCCCGTATGTATCATCTGATGTTTTACGAGGTTTGAGATCTGGCTAAAGGTTTTCCCACATTCCTTACATACATATGGTTTCTCTCCAGTATGAGTTCTCTGATGTAACACAAGGGAAAAGCGCCGACTGAAAGTTTTTCCACATTCATGGCATCCATAGGGTCTCTCCACAGTACTAACATTCATATGTTGAGACAGGGCTTCTTGATGGGAAACTGTCACTTGCCTGATATATCCCTGATTTCCCTGCAGCATCTCAGTATCACCCTCACATTTCCAGCCTTCTTTAAAATTGGAATACTCAAGGCCTTGGCTTAGAAATCTTTCAAATGAAAGATTTGAAGATCTTATCAAATACTGGGATGAATCATCTTCGTATATGACATTTTTTGGAGAAAACTCTTTGATCTCACCATTTGACTCTGAAGCTGAAAAAACAAAGCAAATGTTTCTTATTTTCTGTGTTGAGTAAAATAAAAGCCACTCCTCCATTTTTAAATGAGAATTACATTGGAAAAAAAAATCTTAGCATTGCATTGCTTTTACAGTTATCATATATGACTCTGAAATCTGAGCAGTAGATCCAGAAATTCAGAAGACATCAAACAGAGGAGAGCTGTAGGTGAATAAGGAGAAGATTAAAAATAAGAAACTGAAGGTGAGGGAAAAACAGAACTATCAGGAAGATAAGTAATTGTAAAGGATAGGTGGTTAATCTTCCTCACCTCCAGGTAAACTTTATTTGCTGCCAGAATGACTTGAAAATGACAATTTCATAATGATGCTAATAGACTACAAGCGTTCCTCAGGTCCCACAAAGAAATGAGATTGTGTTCACTTAGTGCCTTTGGAACATCTTACAGTAACTTATTCTGAATGAATGAATAAAAAGGTTTCTCTGAATATCTTCTAGCATCCTCACTCTACCTCTAACTTCTAAACAGACATGTGAAGCTCAATTTAGGGATAACAGTGTCTTTCCATCAGATGCTTTTGACAGATAAACACAGGATTTTCTCCAGGCTAAATTTTAGTAAAGGATTTTATCATTTTGGGAGAACAGAGTTTTATAATATACAAAAGTTTAAAAAACATATCTTTATTCTTAGGAAATATGTGGAGTTAATGGCTATGATGTATACAATTTATTCCCAAATGTTTCAGGAAAAAAAAATCATATACCAAATGACAAAACAAACAGGGCAAAATATTAGCCATGGGTGAATGTGAGTAAAGGGCATATGGGTATTTTTGCACTATTCTTGCAACTTTTCTGGAAGTTTAAAATTATTTCCAACTTGGTATATAAATTCAACAAAATCCCAATCAAAATCCTGGCAAGTTATTTCACAGATCTCCAACAAACTGATTCTAAAGTTTATACAAAACAGCAAATGACCTAGAATACCTAACACAGCACTGAAGGAGAAGAACAGTCAGAGGACTGACACTTGACTTCAAGACTTCTGTAGCACTACAGTAATCAAGACAGTGCAGCCCTGGTGAAAGACTAGACAAGTAGATCAGTGGAACAGAGTACAGAGCTCAGAACAGACCTGCATAATTATGGTCAACTCATCTTTGACAAAGGAGCAAGGACATCACAAGGGAGCAAATACAGTCTTCTCAACAAATGGTACTGGAACAACTAGATATCCACGTGCGTAAAAGTGAATCTAGATACAGATTTACACTCTTAACAAAAATTAACTCAAAATGGATCACAGACAAAAATGTAAAACACAAAACTATAAAACTCCTAGAAGTTAACAAAGGAGAGAACCTAGATGATGTTAGAGAGTGATGACTTTTTGGGATAACACCAAAGGCACAATCCATGAAAGAGATAATTGATAAGCTGGACTTCATTAAAATTAAAAACCTCTGCTCTGCAAAAGCCAATGTCAAGGGCTTCCCTGGTGGCACAGTAGTTGAGAATCCGCCTGCCAATGCAGGGCACACAGGTTCAAGCCCTGGTCAGGGAAGATCCCACATGCCGTGGAGCAACTAAGCCTGTGTGCCACAACTACTGAAGCCTGAGTGCCTGGAGCCCATGCTCCGCAACAGGAGTGGCCGCTGCGTCGAGAGGCCTACATACCGCAACGAAGAGTAGCCCCTGCTCGCCACAACTAGAGAAAGCCCACGTGCAGCAACAAAGACCCAACACAACCAAAAATAAATAAAATTCATTCATTAATTAAGTTTTTTTTAAAAAAAGCCAATGTCAAGAGAATGAGAAGACAGGATGAGAAGACTGAGAAAAAATAGTTGCAAAATACACATCTGACAAGTTATTACCCAAAATACACAAAGAACTGTTAAAACTCAACAATAAGAAAATGAACAATTCAATTTAAAAACAGGCAAAAGACATGAACAGAAACCTCACCAAAGAAGATTTACAGATCCAAGTAAGAATATGAAAAGACATTCAACATAATGTCATTAGGGAACTGTAAATTAAAATAAGACACCACTTCACACCTATCAAAATGGCCAAACTCCAATTCACCGACAACAACACATGCTAGTGAGGATGTGGAGCAACAGGAACTCTCATCACTGCTGGTGGGGACACAGAATGGTGCAGCCACTTTGGAAGACAGTGTGTCAGTTTCTTATAAAACTGAACATCCTCTTACCATACAATTCAGCAATCACATTCCTTGATATTTACCCAAGTGAATTAAAACTTACATCCACACAAAAACCTGAATGTGGAAGTTTATAGCAGCTTTATTTATAACTGCCAAAACTTAGAAGCAACAAGATGTCCTTCAGTAGGAGAATGGAAAAGTAAACTGTGGTACATCCAGACCATGGGCTATTACTCAGCACTAAAAAAAAAAAAAAAAGTTATCAAGCCATGAAAAGATATAAAGGAATGAGCCTCAAATGCATAATATGAAGTGAAAGAAGCCAATCTGAAAAAGGCAAATATCCTATGAATTCAACTATATGACATTCTGGAAAAGGAAAAACTATGGAAACAGTAAAAAGATCAGTGGTTACCAGGGGTTAGTGGGGAGAGGGGGATGAATAGGCAGAGTACAGAGAATTTTTAGGGCAGTAAAACTATCCTGTATCATACTAACATATGGATACATGTCATTGCACATTTGTCAAAACCCATAGAATGTCCGACACTAAGAATGACACTTAAGGTCAACTATGGACTTTGGGTGATAATGATGTGTCAAGGCAGGTTCATCAATTGTGAAAAATGTACCACTGTGGTGTGGGATGTTGACAGTGGGGAAGACTGGGCAGGGGGATATATAGGAACCCTCTGTACTTTCCATTCAATTTTGCTGTGAACCCAAAACTGCTTGAAAGAAAATAAAGTTTATTAATTTAAAAAAATCATTACAGTATTTTCAGGGAAGGTTTAGAGTATTTTAATTGCTACAGTAAAGACTGAGAGATATAAATATACAAATTCACTAGCATCCCTATAGAAAAACAATATAACTTCTTAGAAAAGAAACTGAAGAAAGTTGCTTAAGAATTAATTCAACAACAGGTGTGCAGGGATTTTACAAAAAAAATTCAAAGTCTTAAGAAGCTGTGCAGATAACTCCTAAATCCTACTTTAGCTCAGCATCACCTGGGAGCTTGTTAAAATGTAAATTCTTGAGTTCCACCCCAAACCTAATAACTTAGAATTTCTGGAGTGGGGCCTGGGGATATGTATTTTAAAATGATCCAAAGGACTAAACTTTGAGAAGAACTGTGATATCTCTCTTAAGCACCAGAATATGATACTCAATTGCTACTCGACTATCCCAGAGACCCAAAACTCAGTAAGTCACAAATTGATATAATCTTTCCCTCCCCTTCAAACTTGTTCATCCTTCTTTTTTTTTTTAAGGAGCTAATAATACCAGCAAAAAGAGTGGTGTCAACCACAATTCCTCAATCTTCTTAATGTCTTTTATCTAGTCAATCACCAGGTCTTTCTGAGTCCACTTCCTCGTTGTTACCGTCTGTATACCTTCTTCCATTCCCTGGACACCCCCAAGGTTCAGGTGATGATTACATCTAGCCTAGGTTATGGCAACAACTCTTAAATGGCTGTGCTGTTTCCTAGTCTCACTTCCAATAAATCTGTTTTCCAAACTGCAGCTAGAATGACCTTACTAAAATGCTCGCCTGCCTGCCTAAAATCTTTTGATGACTCCTTATTAGCCTACGGATGAACTCTAAGTTCATTAATAGGACCTATAAAACACCTGCATGATCTGACCAGTGCTTTCCCTAACCATCCTTAATTCCCACCATTTTCCTCCTTACACTTTATACTTTTGCTCAATCTAGACTGGACTTCATACTCTCATTTTATTAGTATGATCTTTATACATGCTGTAACTTTGCGGTTTTGTTTCAGTTATAAAATATGAATGGCTCCAGTCCTGTAAAGATGGAGTAAGTACACTCCAACCTGGCTCTCCCACTGAATACAAGTGAAAACCATGAACAGAATGCATAAAGCAGCTAGCTGAGAACTCTAAAAAGTAAACGGGGAACTTCCCTGGTGGCGCAGTGGTTAAGAATCTGCCTGCCAATGCAGGGACACCAGTTTGAGCCCTGGTCCGGGAAGATCCCACGTGCCGCGGAGCAACTAAGCCCGTGCACCGCAACTACTGAGCCCGCGCACTGCAACTACTGAAGCCAGCGCACTCTAGGGCCCATCTGCCACAACTACTGAGCCCGGGTGCCAAAACTACTGAGCCTGCATGCCTAGAGCCCGTGCTCCGCAACAAAAGCCATTGCAATGAGAAGCCTGCGCACCACATTGAAGAGTAGCCCCCTCTCGCCACAACTAGAGAAAGCCCATGCACAGCAGTGAAGACTCAATGCAGCCAACAATAAATAAATAAAATTAAAAAATTTTAAAAATCTATTTTAAAAAAAGTAAACGGTAGCAAGCTGCTTGCAGAAGGAAGCCAGAACACAAAGTAACACTGAAATGGTGATGAGTTTCTTGGGTTTTTTTCCCCCCCTCCAGTCTCTCCAGGCCTAAACTCAAATGCAGCCTGAAAGCAGGAACTGGGCAGCAGGTGTGAGAAGAAAGAGCTCCATGAGAAGCCTCTATTTCTGTTCTTAGGAATGGGAAAGGGGAGTCCATACTGGTTAGAGAAATCTTATTGTTTGTTCATTTCTGATTCTCTTCTGCCCAAACCCAAAGCATGTTGCAGCAGCTGTGGCCATACAGGCAATTAAACCTCTAAGGCAGGGTAACCTTCCTCCCTCAGCAGAAAGATCAATGGTCCCAAGAGCAGAGAGGTAATACCCCCCCTTTTTTCTTTTTCTCTCCATCCCCTCGCTGCATGGCTGCAGAGGCAGACAAACTTGCAGGAAGTGCAGAGGGGAAACTACAGGCCTGCCTTTCTATCCAGAAGGCCTGAAAGAGGGGGCCTGGGAGCCAAAAAGGAAAGGGGACATGGTGAAAAAGGGAGTGCAAGAAGATGATCCCATAAAGTTGTGTATGAAATTCTGGGCTCCTCCCTGAGCTGTGCATGCATGGATCTGACCCTAAACAGCACACCTAAAGCTGTGAGAACTGAAACAAAGGGGAACCCGCTGCCTAAGGGGAACCCAGTGCCCAACACCACTAGGAGGTGCATATGGGGACAAATAAGAGAGACCTGAGAAGGCTTTGAAAACTGGACTGTCATTGGAACCACATTCACAGAAGACAGGTTAGAACTGTGGCTTCAACTTACGCATATCGACAGCCTGCTTAAAGTTAACATCTCAACAGGATTTAAATAAGACCCAAAGTCTTCATACTTAAAAAAAAAAGTTACAAGTCAAAGTTATAGGACATAGAGAGAAACAAGAATTTCATCATCCCACAGGGGAAAGACAATCCAATTATAAAACAAATTTATGGAGTATTTATATATGGACAGTGCATTAAAATGAAATTAAGCAAAACTTAATTTTGATGTGAAAATATTTCAGTGATGTAGAAAACATCCCTATACTTTATACATGATAGTGAAGTACTGTGTAGTGAAATATCAAGGTATCTGTAAATTACATTATTCAGCAAAAAAAGGGATGAGGTGAGGCAAATACAGTAAAATGTTATCCATTATTAAACCCATAACTAAGACTGTATAGATTTATGCAAAGATAGAAAAATAGAAAAACAAAAACTAGAGAACCCAGAAACATGCGCAAAAACTGACACTTAACTTATGACAAACCAGTGAAGGAAAGGACAGACATGTCAATAAATGGTGCCTCGAGAACTGGATGTCCATGCAGAAGAGACCAAAACTGACCACTAAGTCACATGACACACAAAAATAAATCCAAAGTTGACCATGTATCTAAATGTGAATGCAAAGTGACGTTTTAAAGAGAAAATCTAGGAAAATGTCATCATGACCTCATGGTAGGGAAAAATTTCTTAAACAGATCAAAAAAAAATATATATATATAGGGACTTCCCTGGCGGTCCAGTGGTTAAGACTCCGCACTTCCACTGCAGTGGGCAAGGGTCTGATTCCCTGATCAGAGAACCAAGATACCGCATGCTGCACGGCACAGCACAGCCGAAAAAAAAGAATACTAATCATAAAGGAAAAGACTGACAAATCTGACTATACTAGAATTAAGAGTCTCTGTTCATTAAAAGAGGTTTTAAGGAGAAAAGCCAGCCACAGGTAAGAGGAGGTGTTTGTAGTGAATATAATTACAATGATTTGTATCCAAAACATACAACTCCTACAAAACAAGAAAAAGATGGAGAATCCAATAGATAAATGAGCAAAAACCTTCAAGAAGCACTTCATAAATGAGGGTATCTAAATAATAAACATATGAAAAGGTGCTCAACGTCATTAGTAACTGGAGAAATGCACGTTTAAACCAGAATAAGCTACCACTGCACACTCTCCTGATGGGTGAAGAGCATGATGCCTGGCAGTACAGGGCATTTGGTAAACATGGGGAGCAGCAAGAGGAACCCCCTTACTGTGTCTGTGGAAGTGTAAGTCAGTAAAAGCACTTTGGAAAACATTCTGGCATCATCTAATGTGTGAAAGAGATACATTATCCTCTGACTCAGCAATTCCAGTCCTAGACATAAACCACAGGAACCCTGTGCCAGGAGGTACCAGGACCCAAGGACAAGAGCAACATTGCTTACAATAGCCCTAAACTGCAAACAACCCAAGAAGCCATCAATAACAGAATGGATACAAACTACTAGATGAGTATGCAAAATGCATGAATATTAAAAATAATTTTGAGAGAAGCAAATTAATATATACATTATGATCCCCTCTATATAAAGTTCATAAACATACAAACCTAAACTAGTGACTAGAAACACCAACAGTTGATAAAGCTATAAAGAAAACCAAGGAAGCTACTACCATTAAAGATTACCTTTGCAGGGGGCGAGGTGGGGGGGTGGGTGACTGGGACAAGCACCCGAAGAGCTCTTAGGGACCTGGCAGTGCTGTGTCGACTGACCTGAGTGGTGGTTACATGGGTGCCTTATAATAATTTAAGCTGCACATTTACGTTTTATGCATTGTCTGTGAGCTATTTCCCTTTTCCAAAAAGGTACTGGAAGAAACACACAAAAATTCTAAGAGCTGTATTAAAGTAGTAGAATTAGAGGCAATTTTTCCATGTTTCCCCTTTACCTCACTTCCCTTGTACATAGTTTTATGGGTTTTATTACTTTCAAAACATTTAGAAAAGAACATTTTTCTTCAACTCATCCTTTCACGAGGAAGTCTCTGGGCACTTGTCCCACCTCGTGACTTCAGCTCACACAGGGCTCTTTCCACATCCTTCCTCCTGAAGGTCTCGCTCTCACAGCCAGAGCTTGGTTTTCAAGGCATCCTCTGTTCCCTCACTAGTCCTACCATTAGTTGCTTCTCCATAAACATAAGTATTCCCCTGTTATCTCGAGAGGACCACTCCCTAAAGGCCAGTATACTTCCATTAGAGGTTTGCTTCAGAATCAACTATAGAACTTATGGAAATTGTCATAAACACATATAATTTAGGCTCCAAAGACCTTCTATGTCAGAATCTTCAAGCACGGTGCATGGCCGTATTTATTTTTAAAGAGCTTCACCAGCAATTTTATTTCAACCTAAGGTGAAGAAGGCTTTCAGAGCCCTTCTCAATCAACCTCATTGCTTCTGTTTTTCTTTCTTAATATAAGATTCCCACATCCCTACTTGGAATTTTTTTCTAAGATATATTCCAATGGTTTGTTGCACCTCTTCACTTGGAAATACCATCCTCTACTCACACCATGCATATCTCAAACTAATTCACCACGTTTTGTTTTAAACTGACCCTTTTCCTGTCTTTTATATTTCTATTACTACTATCCCTATCCAAATTACCCAGGTCTATAACACCAACTGGAAATTCCTTTCTTCTCATCGTTGAACTGCGAACTTGAGGACCTCTAACAAAGTTATTTACAGACCCAATTTATCTCACTATGCCATGCCTTCTACTCTCTGAGGCATACCACCTAAGAGAAAGTCTTAACAATATTAAAACTTCAATAAATATCATTAAAATAGGGACCTCCCTGGTGATCCAGTGGTAAAGAATCCGCCTTACAATGCAGGGGACGTGAGGTTCGATCCCTGGTCAGGGAACTAAAATCCCACATGCCGCGGGGCAACTAAGCCTGCGCGCCACAGCTACTGAGCTCACGCGCCTCAACTAGAGCCCACCTGCCGCAAACTACAGAGCCCACGCACTCTGGAACCCGCGCACCACAATGATGAGCCCAGGTGCTGCAACGAAAGATCCCACATGCCTCAACGAAGATCCCGCATGCCAAAATTAAGACCCAACACAGCCAAAAATAAATAAACCTTTTTAAAAAATTGTTAAAATAACACATGACTGAAAGAATAAACCCATCAATTAACCAAAGTGTAATGAATCACTTTTTCAAGAGGGTTAGAACATCAGTATAAAGAAAAATATATATACCTTTTAATTTAGACAATGGAAACATATAAGTCAATTTTTAAAAAGAAAGGGAAGAGAAACCAAAGAGAAATAAAATTCAGAGTCCAGACAGAGCTAATAATGAAAAGAAGGGACACATCTATCTGTGAGAAAGTGAGGAAAGGATGAGAACTGAAGGCAGACAGGTAAGTGGGTGTGAGTGGTCCCCTTGCTGTGGGCAAGACTTTACAGTCCCTGTATCTCCAGTACCTTTAAAGGAAAACTTTCCATCCAGCATATAACAAAGTACTGCTTTCTCATTGACTGGGTGGGTTGTTATTTTAAAAACTTCCCCACCAGCTTCTAACTCACTCACCTGAAAACAGACCTCTGCTCGCATCTTTCCCCAGCCACGGCTCTTTCCCTTGCTCCAGTAAGGAAACCACATGTGGCTTAGAAATGTTAAGACCTGCTTGCGGAAATGAAATAAATTCACAATTAGTCCCTGAATCCTTACGAAAGAGGAGCCGTTATTAGAAATGCCAGATGTAAGTATGAAAGATTTCTAAAGATTAGGTGAAGTTCTAATTCCCCTCTTAAAAGCTAATAAAGGACTTCCCTGGCTGTCCAGTGGTTAAGACTCTACACTTCCACTGCAGGGGGCTCAGGTTCGATCCCCTTGTCAGGGAAGTTCCCATGCCATGCAGTGCAGCCAAAAAAAAAAAAGAAAAGCTAAAACAAACAAACAAACAAAAAAAACTTACCTCCCTTGGGAATGTTCAGCCAGGTAATCAAGATTCGCAACAGCCATCCTAAAGGTCAAATTCTGACTGAGGGGAGATGAGAAGAAATACCTACCCAGTGAGACCAGGTGGCCATAGTTCTCCAACATTACATGTCTGTACAAATCTCTTTGAGCAGGCTGGAGCCATTCCCACTCCTCCCGGGAGAAGTCTACGGCCACATCTCTGAATGTCACTGACCCCTGAAATGACACACAGACATCTGCACAACCAGCACCCATGCTCCCAAAGGCTCTGATCAAGGAGTGAAATGAGTCCCACTGTGTATGGTGGACAGTGTATACAAGTAGCGCAATGACAGTTTTCAAGATTCTGAGTAATTATTAAGAGTATAAGGAAGACACTAGTTGTTTTGTTTTACTGTATAATTGGAGAAAAGACGAAAAAATATACATGCTTTGTCCTGAGATAATTTACAATTTTGTGGAAGATAAAGGACTATACATGTGAACAACATGAATTTCTGGCTTTGGTTGCAAAAATTCTTAAGATCTCACCACGCTTTATGAATAATGAAGACAATCCCTTTACGTGTAATAGGGAGAGTATATTTTCCTTAATACCAGCCTATTTTAATATGAGCTGGCAAGAATTTCTTCGTAGGCACAACTGGCTGTAGCAGACAGCAGCAGCTCCCGATTAAGGGGTACACATTCAAGTTTACCACAGCTAACCCCGTTTCTGAAGAAATAGCTGTGATACTTAGCAATGTCGCCGAACAAGACGCTGAAGGCTACAGTACAAGGGCCTCCCAGGGTGGAACCTGCAGCTTCTTCCCTTGGGTTCAGGATGAGTAATAAGCCCCTGTTTGCAGCCTGGTTTTACAGCACCTGAGTGACCCACATAGCTGTTAGGCATGAACAGGGATTTTTAAAAGTCCCAAACTAGTAACAGCCCCAGAGGTATGACAGTTATATTTTACAGTTTAAAAAAAATTTTAAGTGCCTATAATCTGTTATAGATTACTGACTAATAAAAGAAGCTGTTTCCTAATGTAAACAGTAGGCTCTCCAGAACGGAAGGAAACTGGACTTCCAGCAAAAGTTGAAGAGCCTCTGGCTTTGGAGACAAGTATGACAGAAAGTAGGACAGAGAAGTGACACTAAAACCAGATGGACTAATTTGGAAGGGCTGGTCTTCTTATCCCCGACCTCTGTGAAGCACAATTGCCAGCCACGCATTTAGCCTCCACCAAAACAACAATAATCAGGGTTCCTTGCTAGAGAAACTTCACGTCTTGCCTAAAAAATGAGCTCGGTGAGTTCGGAGATTTTGTTTTGCTCCCCGCTGATCCCCAGGACCTAGGAAGCGCCGTGCAGGAGAATCACGTGGAAGGACTGTTAACGTGCAGACTGCCAACCCGCACACGCACAGGTTCGGGTTCACAAGGCTGGGGTGAGGCTCGAGAATACCCAAGTCCAGCAAGTTACCAGGTGATGCCGACAGAGCTGATCCAGGATCACGCACTGAGACCGCTGATGCAGGCGTGAAAGGAGACGCCCAACGGAAGCAGGAGTCAGCGAATGAACGGCAGCGGGGGCGAGGGCAGAGAGTGAAGCCCTCCACGTTCCAATTCCGGGGAAAGGAGGCGCAGGACAGCCCGCTCTAAGACCCGGCCGCCCGGTCAGCGCCCGCCCCGCGACCGGCCCCGCCTGCCCTCCCACGTCCTCTTAGGCGCCAGAAGGGCGGCAGGGGGAGGAAAGCCTGTGTTCCCTGTCCGGAAAACACAGTCGCGCTGAGGAAGAAAGGAAACACCAGCTCACCTGAGACATGGCTCACGGCAGGGCCCGCGGAGAACCGAGCGTGGAAGGCCGAGCTGGCGGGGAGAGCGACAAGCTGACGCGCGGGCCGGCGCCCGGGCTCCGCATCCACCGCCCTCGTCACGAGGGTCAGGGACGCCCGCGACAGCTCCCTCCCCGCCGCGGCGGGGGCTCCGAGCCTGGGCCCGACCCGCGCCCCCAGCGCCGCTGCCTTTAACGGAGCCGCAGCTGGGGCGTCTCCTCCGCGCTGCTGGCCGGGCAACCAAGGCTTCCCAAGCTCGGGGCAGGACCACCGCCCCCGGCCCCCCGGGCCCCGGCGCGGACAGGCTCGGGCAGGGCGGGCCCTTCCCCTACCTCGGCCCGCGCAAGCAAGGCTCTCGGCTCTGCGACGGGGACCCCGAACCAGCGTCCCGCAAACTGCGCCTTCCGGAGCCTCAGAGACCGACCGCGACCAGGCCGCGGGCCTCAGACAGCTCTCCTTCCCAGGACCCACCGCGGCCTCGGCGCGTCGCGGGCAGAGTGCCCGCCCCACTCCCTACAACTCCCAGGACACCCCGCGCCCGTAACAGGGAGAACGGGGGTCTCAGACAACTACACTTCCCAGGGTCCACTGCGGCCTCAAACTGAGGCCTAGCCGTCCACGCTCGGACTACAACTCCCAGAACCGACTGCGGCCCCAGCCGTTCCATTCAGGACCTCCAGCCCCGGCCACGGCAGTAGCAGCCCCCGCAGCCCTGAGGAGTCACTACTCTCAGAGCCTGGAGCCCCGCGGGGCGGCCCAGCCATGGCGGCCTGGACGGCGACCGCCCGCACGCTGAGGCCAGACTGGCGACCTGTCCGCATGAGCAGAGGAGGCAGCCGGGCTCCCCTTGCAGCCCTGCCGTGGGAGTCCGCGATTCCTGGGGGCTTCCTTCTCCCTGCGCTGGTGGCTCGGTCCCGAGCACGGGGGAGGTCTGGGGACTAAGCACCTACAGAGCTCCAAGCCCAGGGGATGGGAGGCCGGGTGCAAGCTTTGTATTGAAATGGAAGGGTTAGGAGAGAGACTGGGCCCGCTGAATCATGGAATATTGTTCTAAGTGGAGCCAACAGTTTATGAGTTTATGAAAAAAAGATTAGAGACAACAAAGGAAAATGTGTTATCAAACAAACCTTGTGTCCACTCACCTGCCCGCAGTAAAGCCGATCTACTGACACTGGGTTGTGATGAAGGAAAGTGCAGCGTTTATTGCAGGCGCCAAGAAGGAGTCCAGGGAACTAGTGCTTAAAAGGCCTGAACTCCCAGAAGGCTTTCAGGGAAAGGTTTTTAAAGACGGGATGAGGGAGGGGGGGTTGTGGGGTGTGTGATCGGCTCTTGGACCTTCTTCTGATTGGTTGGTGGGGAGGTCATCAGGAGTCAACATCATTGACCTTCTGGTTCCATCTGTTCTTCGGTCTACGGTGGGCAGCCTACAGTTTACTTCTCCCAGCTGATAGGGGTTTCAGAGCTGCAAAACAGCTCAAAGGACACGGCTCAGAATAGTATCTACAGCCCTTGAGGAGGAACTAAAGTTCCTTGACTTTGTTGAATAGCTAAACTATTATTATTTTGTCTTGCTTGACTATTTTCCTTTCTTTCTGCATTTTCTCACTTCTCTGATTAAATTTGTTCTTTGGAACTTGGGGAAGGCCTAGGAGGCTAAAGTTTTTCTACAAATAAGAGGCAGGTGGAGAATGAGGTGGGGCGGGGAGAGTCTGTCCTGGGAAGGCCCCATGGGGTCCTGCTTGGTTACAGTCCAGTATAAAAGCTGGAAGAGAAAAAAGGAAGAAAGAAATTCACTGGCCTGGTGAAAAGAGGTCAAAGGAGAGGTGGCTTGAAAGGAAGAGACTGAAAAAGTAAGCATCCTTGTGAAGGAATGTTCATGCTGTGAAGTGACAAGACAATGAAGAGTTTTAAAGAGGCTGTGACGTCTCATGTGCAGTGTGGTGCAGAGTGGTAAGGGTGAACCAACAGGAAGAAGGACTTGAGCCAGGAAGGCCACTGAAGGCAGTGCTTCTGTATCCTGGGGCCCGGGAACTGGGGCTACGGAAGACTGATTCAGGAAACAATTTAAAAGAAGAATGTAAAGGACCTGGTAATGAATTGGATACATGGAGGAACTAGGTTTCTTGCTTGGGTGAAATGCTTCCAGAAGTACATTCTTTAAAACCGCTTCTACCACTGTTATCCACTCTCATGACTTCAACTTCCACTTATACAACTTGCCCAGATATTTTGGTTAATCATCGTATTTCACTATGACGATAAAACACAGGATAAGACAAGTTTAGGATAGAAGAAATGGATTCATTCGGGACATGTTGAGATCAGCGTGTCCGTGTTTAATCTTAACTACTAATCTTGTCCAAAATATTATTTCTCACCTGCAATCTTGCTATAACTTCACATCAAATTCCTCCAAATCTTTTCTTTATACAGAAGTCAGCCTCACGTTTATAAAAGCAATTCCAAATATATTCCTCTGCTTAATATAATACGATGGCTTTTGATTGGTCTGAAGTAAAGGAAAAAGTCCCTAACATGGTCCTCAGTACTCAGCATGATCTTACCCCTGTCTTGTCAAGCTCTTCTTATGGTATTTCCCTCCTCTCTGACTGTGCTAACCTTCTTTCCCTATATACCATACATCGCAGGACCTTTGAGCATGTTAATTTTCTCTAACCCTGAAAAGGTTATCTATCCCTTCATACAATAACATAATTAGTACATTTCAGTTTATCCTTCATATTTCAGCTCAAGCAACTCTTACTCAGAGAAGTGTTCTCTGATCCCAGTGTGATCTCCGAATAAGGTTCCTTTGACTGTAAACTCTCCTTGAATCCTATACTTATTCTCTTTATCATTTACAATAATTTGCAATTGTATTTGTAATTATTTATGTGTATTTATGATTATTTGTTAGTAATTATCTTCCTCACTAGCTTATAAGCACTATGAGATACACCCATAGCTAGCACATTGCTTGCCACAGAGGGCTCAATGAATGACAAATGGACAGCACCAAAATTTAATATTGTTGCATGGTGAGTGAAAATATCTTGCTTTAATGTACTTTTTGCGATACTAAACAACTGTTTATTGACTAGGTCTTATTTATCTTGTGTGAAATACCTGTTCATGTCCTTTGCCTGTTTTTCCATTAGGATCCCTGTGTTTTTATTATTGATTTGTAGGAGTTCTTAGTGTGGTGGGATTTTATAACTTTCATATGTATGTTTCAGATACAGCATATTCTCAAAAGTCATTACCTGTATATTCCCTTTGGGGTTGTGTGTGTGTGTACATGCAGTAATTTGAAATTTTTATGCAGTCAAATCTATCAGTCTTTTCCCTTCTGACTTTTGAATTTCTCTCATTTAGAAAGGGTATCCACATACCAAATTTTAAAATACACCCTATACTCTTCTAATACTAAATCCCCTTATATCTGGGTCTCTTTCCTCTGTTTTGTTCCACTGATCTGTTCTTCTATTCCTGTACATATCATATGGTTTTAATTACTATAGCTTTCTGGGAGGGCATGTACCCTCTTTTTCTCTTTTCTAATTTTTCTAGGTTAGTGTTATGAGTTTGCCTCTCTGGGTAAATTTTAGAATCATCTTGCCTAATTCCCTATGCAAATTCACTAGAAATTCAGTTGTGACTATTCAATCTGAAGACAGAAACAATGCATTCCATATAAGGGGACAACTGAATGACGGTGGATTTCTCATCTGAAACCATGGTGGCCAGAAAGAGATGGCACAACATTTTTCAAATGCTGAAGAAAAAAACAAAACTGTAAACCCCTAATTCTCTATCTAGCAAAAATGCTCTTCAGAAATGAAGGGAAAATATAGACGTCCAGATGATGAAGACTTTCAGATGAAGGAAAGCTAGGAATTTGTCACCAGAAGGCCTAACTGTAAAAGACTGGCTAAAGAGGTTCTACAATTATAAAGGAACTGGTAACAAAAGAAAAAACAACAGTGGAAATAAAGGTAAACATAATGGACTGTCCTTCTCATGAGTTTTCAAAATCACATTTGATGGTTGAAACAAAAAATTATAATACCATCTGATGTGGAACTTAAGACAGTTATATTAATGCATGGGGAGGGTAAAGGGACTTAAATGGAGGTAAGGTTTCTGCACGTCAGTCAAAATGGTAAAATGTCAATACCCGTAGACTGTGTTAAGTAGGGTGTGTATATTGTAATACCTAGTGAAACCACACACACACACACACACACACACACACACACACACAATACATAGAGACACACTCAAAAATACTTTGAATGATTAAAAATAGAATTCTAAAAAATGTTCAAGTAACCCAAAGAAAAGCAAGAAAATGGAAGAGGTATGAGAAACAGGAAACAAAAATTGTAAAAAGTTCCAACGTATGTTCATGTACAGAAACAGTACACACACCTATTTAGATGTGATTATACTATATATTTTTTGCTGTTTTTCCTTCTCTTTCACAAACGTACTAAAAATTCTCACTGATTACTCTTTCCTCTGCCTACAGCACTCTGTAGGGTCTCCACTCAAATTATCTTCTCACAAAGTCCTTTCAGAACTACTCCATCCAATTGCAGCTTCTCTCACACTCAAGTTATTCTACATCATATTGGCCTGTTTTGTTTTTATCATAGTATTTATCTTTACTAGATATCTTCTTCTTTTAAAAATTTTTTAATGATTATTGTCTACCTCCCCTCATTAGAATATAAGCTCCTGAGAACAGAAACCTATTTGGACCTTTACCTCATTGCCTAGAACTGTGGTACATGATAGGTAGCACATGGTATGTATAGGCTCATAAAATATTTTTTGCATAACTGAATATATTCAGTAAGTATCTTTGTAAATGTGCATGCTTGCATTGTATCAATTTATCATAGGTTAGTCAAATAGATAAAAGACTTAAATGTTAAAAATAAAACTATAGGCAAGTAACAAGACAATTTTATAATCTATAACATTAAATTTATGAGGTGAAATCTATGCTTTATAGTTGATCTCAATATATGTTTGAAGAATCTTTTTCATCCATGATATTAAAAGTATTCATATAATTGTATATGATGCTTTTATTGTTTCTTATATTGCAATTATAAAATTATCCCTTTTGGAATTTCTATTTTTTAGTGTGATGTAGGGATGCTGTGTTATTGTTTTGTCCAAAATGTTTGGTTGTAGGTCCCCAAAACATGTATTGAATAAAACATCCTGCTCTTAATTTTAAATCAAATTTCTTCAGTGGCCCAGAGATCACATAGGGACAAACCAGAAGTCTTCTGTTCAAACGGGCTCCCAGACTCTGTCACATGAAGCTAACTTTTGAACATATTTTTTAAGAATAAGAATATAAATATATCCCCCTCAGGTTTCTCCTTTTATTGACTAACTTTTTCCTGTTCTATGGCCATAGTTTCAGCAGCAGGGATCAGAAGCAAGAGACAAACCGAACCTTATGAGCACGGTGTACACGTTTTTATGGACGCATGTTTTCATTTTCCTTGGGCATATACTGCTGAATCCTGTGGTCAGTACACATTAAACTTTTTAAGAAACTGCCCAACTCTTTTCCACAGTGGTTGTACATTGTTTTACGTTCCCACCAGCGATGTATGAGCGTTCTGGTTCCTCACATCACTGCCAACACTCTGTACTGGAGTCTTTTATGTCTGGCCATTCTCAGCTTAATTGTTTCTTCTAAAAACATGAGACAATCCAAATGTCCATCAATAGGTGAATGGATGGACATACAGTAGTCCATACAGTGGACTACTCAGCAATTAAAAAACAGACTACCGGGGCTTCCCTGGTGGCGCAGTGGTTGAGAGTCCGCCTGCCGATGCAGGGGACGCGGGTTCGTGCCCCGGTCGGGGAAGATCCCACATGCCGCGGAGCGGCTGGGCCCGTGAGCCATGGTCTCTGAGCCTGCGTGTCCGGAACCTGTGCTCCGCAACGGGAGAGGCCACAACAGTGAGAGGCCCGCGTACCGCAAAAAACAAAAAACAAACAAACAAACAAACAAACAAAACAGACTACCAATACACACAGCACCATGCACAAATTTCAAAAACATCAGGATGACACAAAGGCTTACTTATTGTATAGTTCCATTCATATGAAATTCTAGAAAAGACAGAAGTAATCTACAGCGTTGGATGGGAGATCAATCGTTGGGGTCAGCGGTGGGAGTGAGATCTGACTGGGAAGAGGCATAAGGGAACGTTTTGAGTGATGGAAATGTTCTACATCTTGGTGGGAGTGGTGGTTATACAGGCACAGATATTTATCAAAATGCATGGAACTTGGGACTTCCCTGGTGGTCAAGTGGTTAGAACTCTGCACTCCCACTGCAAGGGGCCCGGGTTTGATCCCTGGTCGGGGAACTAAGATCCTGCATGCCGCGTGGTGCAGCAAAAAAAGAACAAAAAAGCATGGAACTTGAACTCTACATTAAAATAGGTACACTTTATCAATAAAATTTATTTTAAAAATGTGGTTCTGAAGAAAGAATGAAGATGGATACACTAAAATTTGTTAAAGGGACAATCTTTAAAATAGCAGGTCTAACCCCGTAGAAAGCAGCAATTGATCAGAGCCTGGGCCCTGTGGAGGACAGATCTATCGTGTTTTATAAGAGGTAGCAAGTACCCAAGATGCCCTGATAATGCACACATGCCCCAAAAGGTGGGAGGTAAAGCCCCCAAAGGCTTAGGAGCCTGATATCAGTGACGTTTTTAGAAGTTTAGTGAACCAGCAATGCTGGGACAGCCCTCTAAAGTAAGGGATGAGGTACTAAAACTCACACCCCACACCACAACACTTTGAATGTGGAAGGCAGTTGGGGACACGCTTGGAAATTCTATGTGAATAATTTGTGGGTATCTTGGAATGCTTCCAGTTTTGAGCGGAGCCCAGAGCAAGAGCTCGGCAGCAAGGCCCAGGGCCTCATCCTCCAGATGAAGCCACATGATGCCGCAGCTCTTGCTGTGTTAGGACCCGAGGCAGATGGGATGCTGTGAGGAGTCTTCTTCAGTCTCCAATAGAGCTACAAAGCCCTCGGATTCAGTAGCAAGGCCATGACTTCTGTGGCAGAGAACGACTCTGCCTTGGAGAAACAGATTCCGGCATGCCACGCCGGCATGCTCTAATGACACCAAGCCTCACTGCTGTGCAGTCATTGACCAGTGACAGCCATCCTCAGGTGGATTATCGGGTTCGTGGACTGCTGCTGCAATTCATCGTTTTGTGGAAATGATTTATTTGGGACCGGGCCCTGGAAAGTCCAAAAGTAAAAGGTTTAAATGGGGAGTCCAGACCCCTGTGTCCCTCGTGGGGGGCTCCCTATGGCCACTGGCCGAGGAGGAGACAACTCAGGCCTGGCTCACAGATGCATCAGCACCATCTGAAGGGACCACTGATGTGCAGCCCCCATTCTGTGAAGACCCTAAAGGACAGTTTTAAGGGAAAACTTCCCAGTGGTCAAAGCTGTGAGCAGGACTCTTGGAACCGTGCTTCATGGAGGAGGAGGGGTGGCTGGGAACGTGGATATGGACCAATTGCTTGGTAGAAGTAACTGACTCAGCTGGTTGTTAGAATCCCAACAGGAACAAAACTGGGACAGCAGGGACAAGGAAATATGAGGGAAAGGCCATGTGGTTGAGCTCGGCACTTTGCTCGTGGACATCAAGCATGTGGGGTTTTGTGTTTCACACTGTTGCCGAGAAGAGGCAGAGAAAGAAAATGGGACAGGGTGACTCATCTTGTGCAGATCCAATGACCCATTTTAAGCAAAGATAGTGTAATAATGGGATGGTGATCACGGGTAAGTCCACCAGTATTAACATTTATCTGCTTACACAGAAAGTCAGTAAAATGGCCTGTGGACAGTTCCTAAGTTTTACAGTATGTACTTGTGACCCAATGACAGGGTCTATCCTCAAGGATATCCAGCTTCTACACTTTTTATTACAAAGATAAGACCTTCATAAGCTGTCCCTTTATTTTGGACCTTAAGATCCCATGATCAGTTAACCACTTCCAAAGGTCTCTATAGGTCCAGCAATTCTGACTACCATCATGGCCTGAACCCACTGCAGTTATAAGAGGGGCGGGGTGGGGGAGCAGCCATTAGCGAATGACCGTAACGGAGAGACCCTTAGCTCGGGACCGTCAGCCTGGCGGCTCGAGGTCCCACTGGGCCAACAGTCAGACGCGCAGGGGTCATGGGTCAGAGAGTGCGGTGAGAGGTGGATCGCAGCCTTCTCCCCAGGGCTCTCCGGGTCCTCCAGCCTTGGGGCTGGTGGGTGAGCTGAGGGCCAGCTGGGTCCTGGGAGCCTGGCTCCCTCGGTGATGATGGCTGGGCAGGGTCTGGGGACCTGGCCCTGAGGGCGCCACCAGCTGAGATCTGCCTCTTCAGCCGGGCCTGGGTACCGGCGGGAGGACCCAGACCGGGTGCTGGACGAGCACGCCAGGGCAGGGTGACCAGCCCGTGCAGGGACCCTTTGCTCACAGGCAGGACCTGGGCCTTGGGGGCGAAAGTCAAGCCTTGGGACTTTGAACAAGTAAACGAGGGATAATGATGTTGCTTTGCTCATGGGATTTGTTAAGGGTTAAAAGCCGCCAGGAGGCTTAGAAACAGAACAGAGACTAGCTAGCTTCTGTTTTGTTAGAAGTTTACCGGAACATCATGACCTGACGGTGACCTGACCTCAAGAACAAAGGGTCTGACACCAAGAAGTCTGCAACAGCTACCCAGGCCCCTCCCTCACCTTTCCTGTAAAAGGGCTTTGGGGAGAGCTTTCCAGGAGTTCAGGGTTTTTAAGGCATGAGCCACCCGTCGCCTTGCTTGGCCCTGCAATAAACCTTCCTCTGCTCCAAATTCTGACGTTTTGTTATTGTTTGGCCTCACTGTGCTGTCGGGTACATTGGCTTATGTTTGGTGACACAGTAACCATGCCCACCTGGCTTCTCAAAACTAAATTCTGCTACCAGGACTGCTCCCTCGCAGAATCCTACACTCCCCTCTGATAGCAGGGGTCTCACTTCAGCGGCAGCATCTTCCCTCTTCACCCTTAGCTGATAAGCACATTTTCTTTTATAAGATTCAATTTATCAAAAATTCTAGACCTGGCATAACGTTAAAGCAAGCAGATGCGTGGTTAGGGCTGGTGTGGGGGCGGCTTGGAAAACAAGCACATTGTTACAGGATGCTGGGACTCCCATCTCCCCGTAGTGTCTCAGTGTCCGGGTAAAAGAAGTGTCTTCTGGTCCCTCTTGGGGGTCAAAATTGGAGGAATTGGTGAGTGAATTACTCGTGATAAATCTAGATCAACAATCATATTTCTTTAAATACTTATGCAAGGAATTTCTGCTGCCTTAGGATTGGCCTCTACCATGTCCAGCTTTCAGCTAATTAACTGAACAGAAACAAAGGTACTGACAGATCAACGACATCAAAATCTTGTTCATTGTAAAAGCTAATAAATAAACTTCTGCCAAGATGGAACAAGAATAAAAGGGAATTCACAAATATTGTTAATGAAAAATTCAGGACTTCCCTGGTGGCGCAGTGGTTGAGAATCCGCCTGCCAGTGTAGGGGACACAGGTTCAATCTCTGGTCCAGGAAGATTCCACATGCCGCAGAGCAACTAAGCCCGTGCGCCACAACTACTGAGCCTGTGCTCTAGAGCCCATGAGCCACAACTACTGAGCCCGCGTGCCGCAACTACTGAAGCCCACACGCCTAGAGCTCATGCTCCACAACAAAAGAAGCCACCACAGTGAGAACTTCACACACCGCAATGAACAGTAGCCCCTGCTCACTGCAACTAGAGAAAGTCTGTGTGCAGCAACAAAGACCCAACGCGGCCAAAAAAAAAAAAAAGAGGAATTTTTCAAAAAGAAAAATCAACATAACTAGATACAAAGATTCCAAAATTAGTAAGAAAATACCTGTAACTTGATGTCAATAAATGTGTAAATGACTAGAAAACCAGCCTCCCCAAACTTCCTGAATAATCTATAAAGTAGTGTGTAGCAAAGTGAGTCCTATGCTACCTTTGTGGTAAGTTGCTAACCGTTCACAGGGTGTCGCACAGCCTCTGGGATGCGTGTAGTGCATCAGGTTCCCAGGCTGCTGGCCACCTCATGTGCATCCTGCTTGACTGGAGTGATTTCACTGCCTCAGTGGAGCACGCTGATGTTCTATGCACGTCCAGATAGTCTGGATCTCTTCAGACTATACTATGACAGCCCTGGGATAAAACTGTGAATCTGTAATGCTGTCTGCTCCATGGTAATGCAAACATTTTCTGATCCTTTTTCCTGAACAGGATAAAAAGAGTGTTCTTGTCAAATCAAAGGCTGCATGCCATGTACCCAAGGGCACGTAAATCTGCTATAGAAACAAGGCCATGTGTGCAAGTTGGACCACGACTTGGCTATGGTCTAGCTTAGTGTTTAGCCTATAGCCATTCTCTAGGATACATCGGGCTTCTACCCGGGCTATGCTACCGAACCAAACAGGGACATGATAGGGACACCCCCCCAGGCACCCTTCAGGTCTTTAAGAACAGCACTAATCTCTGCCACCCTCTCTCTCAGCCCCTACCTGGAAGGCAGTAGTGTTTTTTTTAAAAAAAATAATAAATTTATTTATTTTGGCTGAGTTAGGTCTTCGTTGCTGCACGTGGGCTTTCTCTAGTTGCTGTGAGTGGGGGCTACTCTTCGTTGCGGTACGCGGGCTTCTCATTGTGGTGGCTTATCTTGTTGTGGAGCACGGGCTCTAGGCACGTGGGCTTCAGTAGTTGTGGCACGCGTGCTCAGTACTTGTGGCTTGCGGACTCTAGAGCACAGGCTCAGTAGTTGTGGCTCGCGGGCTTTACAGCGCAGGCTCAGTAGTTGTGGAGCATGGGCTTAGTTGCTATACGGCATGTGGGATCTTCCTGGACCAGGGCTCAAACCCGTATCCCCTGCGTCGGCAGGAGGATTCTTAACCACTGCACCACCAGGGAAGTCCCAGTATTGTTTTTATTTACTATCTTATCTGGGGAGTAAGTTTCAGAGCCATCCATCTGGCCTTCCCCACCATGGTGGCCCTTAACCAAAGTCCAGGGATCCAATGCAAGGGTTACTCTAATTGCCAAGAATGTCCACCCCGTCCAACAGCACAGAGCCTCTCTCACCATGGCTGATTTGGCCACTACAGAGTGTCTAAAATAAGAGACCAAGACTGAGCCCCAGTACAGCACCATTCCTTGGGGAGACCAACTGGCACTTGACTATGTTGACCCTCAAAAGGCTGGTGTGTTTCTCATAGGAGAGACACATATTCCAGGTATGTGGTTTCTTTCCTGCCCACAGGGCCTCAGCCAGCACCACTATCCAGAGGCTTATGAAATGTCTGATCAGCCAGTATGGGATCCCACATACGCTGCATCAGACCAGAGGACCCACTTTGCAGCCAAAGGGTGTGCAAGACTATGCCCAGCACAAAAGGACCCACTGGGTGCACCTGTAGCTGCTTGTGCAAGAGAGCTTTGGAACAGCCTAGTGAAAGCACAGCTGAAGCCCCAGCTCAGAAGCAATATTCTGTCAGGACAGGGTGCCACCATTCAAAGTGCAGCCTATGAACTGGACAAAAGCCCTTTATACGGTGCTGTGTCCTCAAAGTAGAAGAACCCATGGGTCTGGGTGCTGAAGTGAGGGTAGGCCTCACCTACCACCACTACCAACGACCCTCCAGGGGCCTTTGTGCTTCCAGTACCGTCCACTCCGGGCTCTGCAGAGTTAGAGGTCTTGAACCCCAAAAGGGACACACTTTTCACAGGGACAGAGCATCTTCCACTTAATTATAAGAAGCCCATGACCGACCTGGGGACTGTGTGCCTGTACCTAGGGACCATCAGGTGAGTGAAGCCGTGGTCTCTGCAGGGGTGTGTGACACACCATGGGGAGAACAGGCTGCTGCTACAGCTGGGCCAAGAGGAGTCTGAGTGGACTCGGGTGACCCACCGAGGGGCTTCTTGGGGCTTCCTTGCCCACTTGTGAAGGTACCTGGAGAAACTCAGCAGCTGGGATATGAGAAGGGCACGGTGACCAGGCCTCAGATGCCCCTCAGATTCTCGAGGACCTGGCTCATGCTGACGCCAGCATGGGTTGTAGCTGTGTGAGAATCTGGAATGGGTAACAGATGAGAGGAAACAACTGCAACAGGAGAGCTGTAGTTTGTCCTGATCTCCCTTTTGTTCGTCCCTCTTTAGACACGCCCAGCACTGGGAAGGGATGCTCTGTGCAGTCGTGGAGATGCACCACCCAGGTCCCTCTTCAGGGAACGACCTTCTGCTCAGCGGCAGGGACGCCTCCTCCCTCGCCAGTGCGTCCAGAGTTGGCCTCAGGGGGAAAAGAGCCGCTTCATCTGAGGTCACTCCCTTCCCAGGGCAGCCTGCCTCTGCTGACTGACCACTCAGGGCTGTAAGGGCCTGAGCATCCTGGCCAAATGTGAGATGCTCTTACAAGTGATGCTTGCTTCAGCACCCCCGCTGGCCTGGCCAAGGTCTCCACAACCTGCAGTGCAGTGTCACTTCTTCCTCTGACCAATCCTTTCCTTTTTATTCTTCCATCACTTCATGTTGATCCTCAATAAACATCTTGCACCCCAAACTTCATCTCAGTATCTGCTTCCAGAAGCCCAAACTTACAACACGGCCTGACCTCGCTGTTAGTTGGGTTGTAACAAACACAACTTGAACCAGCTGATGCAAACATGGGGATTTATTAGAAGGATGTTTGGGATATCTCACAGGACAATCCAACAACCAAGGCAGGAAAAAGGGCAGAGATGAACCCGGACATCAAGACAAGAACCAGATCCTGGGGCGCAGCCAGGGTGCTCATGACTTTGCTTCCATGGTGGCTTCACTCTTCTCTCTCATTGCAGACTACACTTCCCCATGTGGTAGAAAACACAGCCACTGACACCACCCACATTTATGTACTAAAGCTTCAGTTGCTAAAATTATACAGACAAACAAGATAGTCCCAGCTTTCCAGAAGCTTTCTAATGGAAAAGATAAAACATGCAATGATAATATCACCAGTGACAAATACATGTACACGTGCACATATGCTGAATAGGCATTAACAAGTAACAAGGGCATTTCACTGGCAGTAGATTTGCAAAAAGCATACGATGAGATTGTAGAAATCTCAAGGAACTGCGAGTAGTTCAAGAAAGCCAAAAAACTACTGTGTAAGAGGAAAGATAAAGTATTCAGAAATGATGGGTAAAAGTCCTCATGTACCACAGGATATTACACCTTCAGTCCACAATTAGCCACATGACACTTCAGCACAGGAGTATATAATCAGAATTGCATCTTAAAATAACTACTATGTATAAGTGTGGAAAATGGACTAAAAAAGGATGAAAGTAAAGGGGCAAAAAATATGCATACAGCTGCAAGGGTCATGGTTGAGTTAGTTTATCAGCATGTAGGCCAGGACTAGGTGCTCAACATCTGAAAGCTTGTTGGTACCATGTTTGTAGACTAACAAACTCATTGAAATTGACATCCTGGGCACATACTGCTGGAATAAATGACCAAATGACTGAGGTCTCAAGTGTAGAATCCAAATGTCTATGAATGTATATTCTGCTATGTAATACAGGTATTGGTAGATAAATCTGGTATTCTTTAGGTTCATTTTATTTCGGGGCTCTACAAGTGCTGTTCTTGAAACCAAAATATCAGGAACACATGGACCCATACAGATAACTGTCAGAAGATATCAAAGCCCACAAAGAAAGGCTGAACACAAGGCAGTCCTGAGACAGGTCTCAAAATTCACAGACGGGACCTCCAGAAGATCCACTACTTAGTAAAAGGGATACAAGAGAAATTGTGCTCTGCAGGATCGTCCCCAGGCCAGTGGAGGGAACTGGGTGGTGAAAGAGGAAAGGAAAGGAGATGCTCCCCCTCATGTATTCAATCTCACTGTAATTTATTGTGCTTCATGAAACTGCAAGTAAATCCAGTCTAACTTTAAAAGTGGCTTTCCTCTTGATGTGGAGTTTGTGGTAGGACTCAATGACAGGAAATGTGGAGACACATTTTTTTGTGGTTTACCAAGGTAATTTTAAAACACGACACTAAGAATCTCCAATTTCAGAATCAGAGCCCTCTTGTGACCCTTCAGAAGAGAGAGCTCCCAGTGAATTCTACACAACACACCTGGGTCTCCACCTCAGGTACTTTGATAAACAAAACCTCTGCTGCCAACATCAGCCCTCCTGATGACTAACAACAGACCCTTAGAAAACACATTTGCTCTTGGGATTCAATCAAGAGGTTAGTGCTGAAGTTCCATCAACTCATAAAGGAAGTTCTAAGCTTAAGTACTTAGTAGTTAACAGAATAATCTAGAATAGGAGTGAGCAAAATTAGAAAGTTTTTAGACAACAGATTCCTGAGCTCAATCCAAGACCTAACAAATCAACCTCTAGGCTGAGGAAAGAGACCCAGGATAGATGGAAAGGAAAAAATGGAAAAAAAACCACAAAGTAAGACACCACAGTGTAACTACTTGTTCCCCCACCTGGTAAAATGACCTTCAGGTATTAGGGAGAAAAGTAGGAAGTCCATAAATTTGAGTATGAATAAAAATTTGGGAAATGGGACTTTTAAAAATTACCATGTGGAAAAAAAGGATAATCTGGCTGTTGAAATTCTGGAACAATGGGTCACAAAATTATTATCATTTATTAAAAGTCCCAATTTTCCAACCATGATGTAAAATTGGTAATTAGAGGGAAAAATACTGCTAGAATCAAAGGTACCATACACCACACTGATAAAACAACTTATGCATGAGAGAAGGCCTGATTTTTACAAGTTTGGAAACAAGGCCAATCCTGGACTTTTCTGAATTTCACCATCACACAAAAAATACAGTTGACTTTGTCAAGCAACATTATAGAGAGATTACTACAAAATTCTAAATAAGCTCAGGAATAGTTCATGCATTTTCAAAAGGAACCACACTTATAGCAATGGTAACTTTCCCGTGTGCATGATGTAACAGGTGAAAGGCCAGTGAAACACAAATATTTCAAATGATGAAATAATAAAAAACCTGTTTCCTAATACTTGTCCACTAATCACAGAAATCTGCAGGAAGGCAAAATAGGCTTCCTTGAATACGTCAGAAATATACTTCTCATCACAAAATTCTCAAATAACTGGTTTCTGCATCTAATTCTTTTACAAGATATTTTACAGAACACAAAAAACATAATAGCAGCACACAGTATCCATGCTATTTCATCACAGTAAGTTAAAATACAAGTTGTACTTGGGTGACATGGCACTTACGATACCAGGGGGCACCGCACTCTGTGAGGAGAGGGTCCCACCGTTTAGGGTGAGCGCAGAGTCCACACACCTCCTCTCCTCTGCTCACGAGTCACTTGTGCTGTTCTGCGGTTCTGCCCTTGAATACTTGTTAACCAGGTTTTTGTATAAACTGCTTCTCAGACTCTGGGGATGCAAAAGACTTTATATAATGTTGGCTTTTGTTACTAAAGAGAAAGGTCAGTAACAACAACAGACCCTTTTATAAACCAACAAATCATAAGGAAAAGGAAATGTGGTGATACTACCCATGCTACTTACTGAAAAACAAGACATGTATGAGTTACTATTTTTATAGTAACATTAAAATAGAAAAACCAGTGGTATGTGGTGTGTCTTAAAAGACATCAGAGGCACTACAAGGCATGTGCATCTCATGCTCCCAATTACATTACCATACACAATTCCTAAATACAAAACACATTATGTGACACAGGAAAATAAGCCACAATTACATACCACTGAGAAATTTCTCATTTAGATATTCCAGTGACTCAATTTAGTCACATATTTTTAAAAACATACTTCTGCCTAAATATCATTTAGAATTGGGTATTTTTGGTACCCATGTCTATAAAGAATGCATGGCTTTCCATTATAGCATTATTTCTAGGGGCACATATTCCTAATGTTTTTAAATTGTTAGGTTTACCCACAGAATACAATATGGTGGGGTTACTTGCTGAAGATTGTCCCATATTTAGTATTTTCATCGATTTTCATTCCTGAGGGCATCTTTTTGTGTACAATGAGCTTCATTTCTTGATGAAAATATTACCTCACTTGCTGTGTTCATGAAGTTTTCCTTAACTCACTGGACTAGGATTCATTCCCAGTGGGGATGTTTCTGACAGCTAATGAGATCTGATCTCTGGAAGCCTTCCTGATATTCACAGCATTCTTCTTTGCTGTTAGTTCTCTGCTGTGTAAGGTTTGAGTATGGTTTGAAAGGTTTTTAAAATCCACTGCATTTCATAGGGTCATTCTCCTCTATGCATTTTAACATGTAATAATAAACACGTTAATCTGCTGAACCTCACTTAGAGTCCTTTCCCTAAACGGGGACTCAGACATGTAACATGATGCGACTATTACCTGGAAGATTTACCATAACTGCATCCTCTGAAGTACAATGCAGTTAAGATCTCTGTCAAAAACTAGTGTTAATGCCATTCCTAGGACTTCTTTACTGTATGAGTTCTCCGATGATTAATGAGCTGTGACTTTTGAGAGAAGGCTTTCCCACATTCACTACATTGATAAGGTTTCTCTCCGGTATGAATTCTCTGATGATTAACAAGCTGTGACTTCTGAGAGAAGGCCTTCCTACATTCACTGCAACCATAAGGTTTCTCTCCTGTGTGGGTTCTCTGATGTGGTATGAGGTGCGACTTCCGAGAGAAGGCTTTGCCACAGTCGCTGCATTCAAAGGGCTTCTCTCCTGTATGTGTCCTCTGATGATTGATGAGACTTGACTTCTCCCTGAAGGCTTTCCTACATTCACTGCACTCATAAGGTTTTTCTCCTGTATGAGTTCTCTGATGTCTAATTAGTTCTGATTTCTCAAAGAAAGCTTTCTGACAAAGACTGCATCCATAAGGTTTCTCTCCCGTGTGAATTCTCTGGTGAGTGTTGAGCTGTGACTTCTGGGAGAAGGCTTTTTCACAATCCCTGCATTCATAAGGTTTTTCTCCTGTGTGTGTTCTCTGATGAGTTGCCAGACTTGACTTCTCGCCAAAGGCTCTCCCACACTCACTGCATTCATAGGGTTTCTCTCCTGTGTGAGTCCTCTGATGTGAAATGAGATGTGACTTCTGACAAAAGGCTTTCCCACACTCACTGCACACATAGGGTTTCTCTCCTGTATGAATTCTCTGATGATTAGTGAGGCTTAATTTTTCACTGAAAGCCTTCCCACATTCACTGCATTCATAGGGTTTTTCACCTGTGTGAGTTCTCTGATGTCTGACAAGCTGGGATTTCCTACTGAAGGCCTTCCCACATTTAGTGCATACAAAGGGTTTCTCTCCGGTGTGTGTCATCTGATGTGATAAGAGGTGTGACTTCTGGGAGAAGGCTTTCCCACACTGGACACACCCATGAGGCTTCTCTCCTGTATGTGTTCTCTGATGGTTAATGAGACTGGACCTCTCTCTGAAGGCTTTCTGACACTCACTGCATTCATAGGGTTTCTCTCCAGTATGAATTGTCTGATGTCTAATGAGCTCTGATTTCTCAAAGAAGGCTTTTCTACAATTGCTACATCCATAGGGTTTTGTTCCTGTGTGGGTCCTGTGATGTGTGACGAGCTGTGATTTCCTGCTGAAGGCTTTCCCACATTCTCTGCATTCAAAAGGTTTCTCTCCTGTGTGAGTCCTCTGATGATTGATGAGATTTGACTTTTCACTAAAGGCTCTTCCACATTCAGTGCATCCATAGGGCTTCTCTCCTGTGTGTGTCCTCCAGTGTGATATGAGGTGTGACTTCCGGGAGAAGGCTTTCCCACACTCACCACATTCATACGGTTTCTCTCCTGTATGTGTCCTCTGATGGGATGTCAGCTGTGACTTCTGGGAGAAGGCTTTCCCACACTGGCTGCAACTGTAAGGTTTCTCTCCTGTGTGCGTTCTGTGATGTGTAATGAACTGTGACTTCTGGGGAAAGGTTCTGCCACATTTACCACAGCCATAGGCTATTTCTCTTACGTGTCTGCTCTGATGTTTAATGAGACTTGATTTCTTACTGAAGCGTTTCCTACATTCACTGCATTCATAGAGCTTCTCCCCTAAATGGGTTCTGTGATATATGATAATCTGTGACTTCTTACAGCTAGCTTTATCATACTTATCACATTCATAGTATTTTAACCAAGTATCAGTTTCCTCAGTCTTGGTATGGAGAAACAATTTATCAAATACATTTAAGTCAGCTGGTTCTGTTTTTCCATAATCTGCTTTTGGAATAAGTAAATCTATATGATGTTTTAAAATTAATCCACCTATATCACCTTCACTGTTTGATTTCCTTAAAGGAACAAAGTTCATGCTCAGATTGAAATTTTTTCCAAGTGCATCACATTCTTGATCTTGTTTCATATTTTTAAGCTTCTCTTGGTTATCCTTGTGCCAAGTGATGTGACCATTTACTTGCAAGACTTGTTCTAGGAAAAAAAAAACCCTGTGAACCCTTCTATAGTTGTGCTTACTGAATAAAACCTAGAAATGCTATCTGAGGGAATGAATGCCTTTTAAAGCTTAGTTTCCCAGTCTGAATACAATGTCTATCCTCTAGGTACTGAAAAAAATTTAAATGCTGTAAACAAGAACAGAAAGCAGACAGTAGATTGAATGGAGTCAACCACCAACTTGGGGGGAAGGAGGAAACAGATGAACAGGCCACATGGGCTCACTCCGTGGGTCCTCAGCCTCACCTACTCCCTCAGCTACACTCAGAGGACACTGCAGCTCGGGCTGACTGTGGGGCCCGCCCCAGGTGCCCACATCTCTCCACCAAGACCTTCCATGGGCTGCAAGTGCACGTCTGGGCCGTGTGCAGGCATGCTAAACACTCTGGAGCCCTAATGTTCCCTGCAGCAGTGCTCAGTCACTGAGAGACAGGAGGGTTACGGTGATACCAGCTTCCTGGTCCCTCAGAGTGTTCCCAGCAGCACACCCTTTGTGCATTCCTCCCCCGCCCCATCTCACTTCCCCTTCTCCCACTAACACTGTGGGGTCACAGTCCCACTAAGTTCTTGCACTCAGATAAGTATCTCAGGGTCTGTTTTTGAGGGACCTTGAAGTAAGTCAATATCACAGCAGGGAAAGAGGAGGGAGGTACAGCTGTTCAGAGCACTGCTGGATGCTTGGTGGTGCCACATAAGACAACTTGCAAAAGGAGATGAGAACCTGGATCTATCTAGCAATTTGGGAAGTTCAAGATTAGGCACAGTTTTAAGTGGGAATAGAGAAGTCTTTAAAAAGATATTTTCCAAAGGGCAAAAAACTTAAATAATAAGAAAACATGTTAGGAAGAGATAATTCCAGGTACTCCATGGTGTCTAAGCCACAGAAAAAGCACACCGGAACCTAATTTAAAAAGGGAAGATGGGACTTCCCTGGTGGCACAGTGGTTAAGAATCTGCCTGCCAGTGCACGGGACACGGGTTCGAGCCCTGGTCTGGGAAGATCCCACATGCCATGGGATCAACTAAGCAACTAAGTCTGTGTGCCACAACTCCTGAGCCTTCGAGCCACAACTACTGAGCCCACATGTCACAACTACTGAAGCCTGCACACCTAGAGCCCGTGCTCCGTAACAAGAGAAGCCACCACAATGAGAAGCCTGCGCACTGCAACAAAGAGAAGCCCTCGCTCTCCACAACTAGAGAAAGCCCACGTGCAGCAATGAAGACCCAACGCAGCCAAAGATAAACAAATAAATAAATTTGTTAAAAAATATTTAAAAATAAAAAAAATGATTGTGCTACATTCCTTTAAAAAAAAAAGGGGAAGAAATGGACCAATGGTTTGGGAGAAACGAAAATCCATTTTCTGACATAATGAGACTGAACAGAGAGCGCTTCATGCCAGAGATGCCCAAAGTGAGGGAAAATAAAGCCCCGATGGACAAGCACAGGTGTCTCTGATCACAGAAGGAGGGAGGACAGAAGAAGCTTAACCACATCAGGGGACAGAACACCTAACGAGAAGTCAAAGTCCCAGATGTGACAGACAGGGAATAACATCATGGCCCAGACCAGCTGGAAATATTTCACTTCAAGCTATGAGCAAAGAAGCCACATGTAAATGTGCTTTACCTGAGTAGCTCACATCAACTGTTCTGAATCGCCATCAAAGGTTGGAGATTTTGAGACGAGCTCTCTAAGGCACATTTCAAAGATACCGACCCGTACCCAGCTGAGACTGAACTTCCACCTTCTCCCCTCGGTCTGGTCCTCGAACACTCACCTGAAGAGTCTGAACCTGGAATTTCTCCATCTCCTGTCCACGGCTCTTCTCCGTGCTCCAACTTGAGGATGACACCAGGTTTCATAACTTCATACCCTGTTCAGGGGAAATCACAAAGTCCTTGGCCCCCACTGCTTGACCTCTGGGGCCTCTGAAGAATGAGCAAGGTTTGGCATTAGTTGACCCAGTGAAGCCACCCATCTGAATACCAACAGAGTAAGTAATTCTCAGAGGAAAGGTAATGGTCTTCCCAGTGGCTAATAAGGTCTAAGAATCTTTGACTTCTATAATTCAAGTCCAAAACCATACACCGTTCAGAGACTCTGTAGCCGGTCTGCCTGGGTTCAAATCCGGGCTCTTTCATTTACTAGCTGTCAGTCCTTGCAAAAGTTACTTAACCTCCTTTGCCTCAATTTCCTCATTAGAATAAAAGAAAGAAAACAAGGAAAGTAACACACCTGCCACATAGGATTGCTCTTATGATTAAGTGAGCTAATATATGCACGATATGTGAAATACAGTTAATTACATGCTTCAGGAGCTACCACTACCAGTTACTATTAGCTTCAGAGGCTGCACAATGAAATTAAGACTTCATTATTGGAAGGTGAGATCCAAATACTTTCCCTGGAGTCACAGTCCAAGAATTTTGATCTCCTAAATTTAGGTCCAAAATCATTAAAAAATTTGGAAGTCCCAGAGCTCTCAGCAACTAAAAAAGAACAAGCAGGTACTAGACACAATATGAGGTCCTCTGGGCAAGTTTCCTTTTTTTTTTTTTTTTTTCCCATTTTTTGGCCACACTCACGGCTTGCAGGATCTTAGTTCCCCAAACAGGGATCAAACTTTTGCCCCCTGCAGTCAAAGCACAGAGTCCTAACTGCTGGATTGCCAGGGAATTCCTAGGCAGCTTCTCTTACCTAGTGACACGAGGCTGCTATAGTTCTCCAACATGACATCCTTGTATAAGTCCTTCTGACAGGGGGCCAGTAGTTGCCATTCCTTCTGGCTGAAGTCCACAGATAAATCTTCAAATGAGAACGACCCCTGTAAGAGCACAATCCCAGTGAATCAGAAGCAGGTATCACTAGGTGATGTGGGAAAGAAGTACCAGAGCTTGAGCACATCATTCTCACCAAGGCAAGTTACAGAATGTCTACTGGGTCCTTACTTTTGCACTCTTATTTTGTGAGATAAAATGCCATTATGCATTCTTTCATCCTTCCACTTACATGAGAACTGAAATACACGACTTTAAATCTTCCAAACCACCAACAAAATATTTACTGAACCTCAAATCTGGCACCAGAAGAGATGGCAGTGAAAGACAGATAATAAAATAGTATCCTAAGAAACTGCTCAGTTTGTAGACAGCTGCAAACATGTACACCTATAAATAAAAGAAACTGCTTTAAGAGCTGAGACAGAAAGACAGGGAGAACATGACATGGGTCAGGAGCAGGGAGCATGGCACTCCACCTGTGGTCACATCAGCCTCTATTGAAGAGGTGAAGCTTGAAACGAGTTTTAGGAAATTAGTAGTGCTTTCTACAGAAAAGGGGATGCAAAAGCATTCTGAGAGACAGCAACTCCAATATGGGGCCCCGCACTGCTGGGGCTGAGGTGATACAAACAGTTCAGTCAGACAAGGTCACAGGGCGTGGGGTAGTGACTGGACTGCAGGCCACAATGGAGGCAGGGCAGACGTGGTGACCACACCACCTTCTTGCTGCCGACAGTTAGCCACTAGAGCTTTTACAGGATGGAAGTGATACAACCAAATTTAACTTTTAGAAAGGTATCTGGATTTTAGATCAAGATGGAGTTCTGTCCCAAAGTCTCCTAAGACGACAAGAAAGCACAAACACTCTTTTAAAAATCCAGAATACCATCAGAAAATAAGAAACAGCACACCACAGACTTTGAGAGTAGCAAGGGAATCTGAAAGACAGTCCATAGAAAGTATCCATTTTGAGCAACCAAGAGAGAAAAACTTGAGAATGGACAGAGCTCAGGTCACTGCAAGACAAAGCAAATGCATGTCATGGGAGTCCCAGAAAGAGAAAAGAAAGAGCATGGTGAAAAAAAAAGTTTCAAGAAATGGGCTAAATGAGGCTAAATCCTCCCCCAAATTTGGCAAAAGATATAAGCCTGCAAATCCAACAAGCTCAGTGAACCCCCCAACTGGATAAACAAAGAAATCCATGACCAACCACATCACAACCAAACTGCTACAAGATGAAGACAAAATCACATCACTTATAGGGAACAGTGATTCAAATGACTGCAAATGTCTTATTAAATAGCAAAGAGGCCAGAAGGAAGTGCTGAAAGGAAAGACCTGCTAAGCCACAATTCTGTGGCCAGCTTAAATATTCATCAGGAATAGTACAACAGGGACTTCCCTGGTGGTGCAGGGGTTAAGAATCCACCAGCCAATGCAAGGGATGTGGGTTCAATCCCTGGTCCAGGAAGATCCCACATGCCGTGTAGCAACTAAGCCCATGCACCACAACTACTGAGCCTGAGCTCTAGAGCCTGCAAGCCACAACTACTGAGCCCGTGTGCCACAAATACTGAGCCCGTGTGCCTCAACTACTGAAGCCCGAGCACCTAGAGCCCGTGCTCCACAACAAGAGAAGCCACCGCAATGAGAAGCCTGCGCTCCACAATGAAGAGAAGCCCCCGCTTACCACAACTAGAGAAAGCCTGTGTGCAGCAACGAAGACCCAATGCAGCCAAAATTAAATAACTAAAGTAAAATAAATAAATTTCTATTAAGAAAAAGGAATAGTGTGATAATACTTTCTTATGAAGAAAAACTAAGAGAATTCAAGGGTAGCAGACTTGCTCTAAAAGATTTACTAATGGAAAATCTTCAGATGGACATGATACCAGAAGGCAACTTAAAAAAATCGAGAATGAAGAAAGAACAGAAATGGCAAATATATGAGCAAATAAAATACACTATTCTCCTTTTCAGTTCTTTAAATATGTTTCATAGTTGACAGCAAAAATCGTAATGTTTTCTGATGGAGTTTTCAGTGTATGCACACTGAAACACAGTTACGATATAAAGGAAAGAGGGTGAGGGGCCTAGACAGTGGTGAGGTTTCTACATTCCTATTGAAGTGGCAAAATAAAATTTAAAACTTTGCACTTCAACCAACGTAATTGAAAAATGAAATGACAAGCCACAGACTGAAAAAAATTATTTGTAAATCCTATTTCTGATAAAGAACTTGACTCAAGAGCTTATTTTAAAAACTCAATAATAAAAGATAAGTAACCCAATTAAAAAACAGGCAGAATATTTGAATACATTTTAATACAGAAGATATAGAAATGGCTAATATGCACATGAAATGATGACCAACATCATTACTTATTAAGGAAATGCATATTAAAACCACAATGAGACACCAGTTCATGTTCACTAGAATGACTATAATCAAAAAGACACAATAACAAGTGTTCAAAAAGTTGTGGAGAAACTGGAACTTCATACTGGGAGAAATATAAAATGTTCAGACACTGGAACTGTGGCAACTTCTTTAGAAGTTAAATATAATTTTACCATACAACCCAGCAATTACACTCTTAGGTATGTACCCAAGACAAATAGATACATGCTCATACAAAAACTTGTACATGATCCCAGAGGAGAAGAGAGAGAGGACCTGAGAAAATATTTGAAAAGATAACAGCTGAAAATGTCCCTAACCTGGGAAAAGAAACAGTCACCTAAACCAAGAAGTGCAGAGAGTCCCATACAGGATTAACCCAAAAAGGGACACACCAAGACACACTGTAATCAAACTGACAAAAAAATAAAGATGAAGAGAGAATATTAAAAGCATTAAGGGAAAAGCAACAAATAACATACAAGGGAACTCCCATAAGACTATGAGATGATTTTTCAGCAGGCCAGATTTTTCAGCAGGTCATATATGGCATGATATATTTAAAGTGATGAAAGGGAAAAACCTACAAACAAGAATACTCTACCCAGCAACACTCTTGTTCAGATTTGATGGAGAAATCAAAAGCTTCACAAACAAAAGCTAAAAGAATTCAGCCCCACCAAACCAGCTTTACAACAAATGTAAAAGGAACATTTTTAGGTGAAAAAGAAATGGTTACAACTAGAAGCAAGAAAATTGTCAAACAAAAAAGCTCACCAGTAAAGGCAAACACACAGTAAAGGGAGGAAATCATCTACACACAAAGCTAGTAGGAAGGTTAAAATACAAAAGTAGTAAAATCATTTATATCCACAACAAGCAGTTAAGGGATACATAAAACAATTAGATGTAAAATATGATATCAACAACAGTAATCGTGAGGGGAGGAGAATACAAATGCAGCGTGGTTTTCTTTTTTGCGGTACACGGGCCTCTCACTGTTGTGGCCTCTCCCGTTGTGGAGCACAGGCTCCGGACACGCAGGCTCGGCGGCCATGGCTCACAGGACCAGCCACTCCACGGCATGTGGGATCCTCCCGGACCGGGGCACGAACCCGTGTCCCCTGCATTGGCAGGTGGACTCTCAACCACTGTGCCACCAGGGAAGCCCCCAAATGCAGGGTTTTTAAAATGCATTGGAAATTAAAAGATCAGCAACTTAAAACAATCCCATATATATACAGTCTGATATACAAAAACCTCATGGTAAATGCAAACCAAAAAATCTATAATAGATACACACACAAAAAAGAAAAAGGAATCCAAGCATAACACTAAAGACAGTCATCAAATCACAGGAGACGAGAACAAAAGAAGGGGAAAAAAAGACCTACAAAAACAAATCCAAAATAATTAACAAAATGGCAATAAGAGCAAACATATTGATAACTACCTTAAGTGTAAATGGACTAAATGCTCCAATCAAAAGGCACAGAGTGGCTGAATGGATAAAAAAACAAGACCCATATACATACTGTCTACAAGAGACCCACTTCAGATCTAGGGACACACACAGACTGAAAGTGAGGGGATGAAAAAAGGTATTCCACACAAATGGAAATCAAAAGAAAGCCAGAGTAGTAATACTTATATCAGACAAAATAGACTTTAAAATAAAGACTGTTATAAGAGACAAAAAAGGACACTACATCATGATCAAGGGACCAATCCATAAAGAAGATATAACAATTGTAAATACATATGCACCTAACGTAGGAGCACCTCAATATATAATGCAAATATTAACAGACATAAAAGGAGAAATCAACAGTAACACAACAATAGTAGGGGACTTTAACAGCCCACCTACATCGATGGACAGATCATCTAGACTAAAAAAATCAATAAGGAAACACTGGCCCTAAAGAACACATTAGACCAAATGGATTTAATTGATATATACAGAGCATTCTGTTCAAAAGCAGCAGAATATACAATCTTTTCAAAAGCACATGGAACATTTTCCAGACTACATGCTAGACCACAAAACAAGCTGGGTAAATTTAAGAAAACTGAAGTCATATCAAGCATCTTTTCCAACCACAATGTTGTTGAGACTAGAAATCAACTACAAGAAAAAAACGGCAAAAAAACACAAGCACATAGAGGCTAAACAACATGCCACTAAACAATCAACGGATTACTGAACAATTCAAAGAGGAAATGAAAAAATACATAAAGACAAATGAAAATAAAAACACGACAACCCCAAATCTGTGGGATGCAGCAAAAGCAGTTCTAAGAGGGAAGTTTATAATTATACAAGCTTACTTCAGGAAACAAGAAAAATCTCTAATAAACAACCCAATCTTACACCTGAAGTAACTAGAGGAAGAAAAACAAAACCCAAAGTTAGTAGAAGGGAAGAAATCATACAGATTAGAGCAGAAGTAAAACAGAGACTAAAAAAAAAATAGAAAAGATCAACGAAACTAAAAATTGGTTCTTTGAAAAGATAAAATTACTCATCAGGAAAAAACGGGAGAGAGCCCAAATCAATAAAATGAGAAATGGAAAAGAAGTTACAACCAACACCATAGAAATACAAAGGATCATAAGAGACTACTACATGCCACTATATACCAATAAAATGGACAACATAGAAGAAATGGACAAATTCTTAGAAAGGTACAATCTCCCAAGACTGAACGAGGAAGAAGTAGAAAATATGAACCAACTACAAGTAATGAAATTGAATCAGTAATTTAAAAACTCTCAATAAATAAAAGTCCAGGACCAGATGGCTTCACAGGTGAGTTCTATCAAACATTTAGAGAAGAGTTAATACCCATCCTTCTGAAACTATTCCAAAAAACTTCAGAGGAAGGAACACTTCCAAACTCATTCTATGAGACCATGATCACCCAGATACCCAAACCAGACAAAGATGTCACCAGAAAAAGAGAATTACAGGCCAATATCACTGATGAACATAGACACAAAAATCCTCAACAAAATACTAGCAAACTAAATCCAACAAAACAGTAAAAGGATCATACAACATGATCAAGGGGGATTTATCCCAGGGATACAAGAATTTTTCAATATCCACAAATCAATGTGATATACCACGTTAACAAATGGAAGAATAAAAACAACATGATCATCTCAACAGACACAGAAAAAACTTTTGATAAAATTCAACATTCACTTTGATAAAAACTCTTCAAAAAGTGGGCATAGGGGGAACATACCTCAACATAATAAAGGCCATATATGACAAAAATCACAGCTAACATCATACTTCATGGTGAAAAGATCAAGTATCCCCTCTAAGATCAGGAAAAAGACAAGGATGCCCACTCTCACCACTTTTAGTCAACATACTTTTGGAAGTCTAACCACGGCAATCAGAGAAGAAAAAGAAATAAAAGGAATGCAAACTGGAAAAGAAGTAAATCTGTCACTGTTTGTAGAAGACACGATACTATACATAGAAAGTCCTAAAGATGCCTCCAGAAAACTACTAGAACTCATCAATGAATGCAGTACAGTTGCAGGATACAAAATTAGTACACAGAAATCGCTTGCATTTCTATATGCTAACAACAAAATATCAGAAAGAGAAATTAAGGAAACAATCCCATTTACCATCGCATCACAAAGAATAAAATACCTAGAAATAAACCTACCTAAGGAGGTCAAAGACCTGTAATCTGAAAACTATAAGATGCTGATGAAAGAAATTGAAGGTGACATTAACAGATGGAAATATATACCATGTTCTTTCATTGGAGAAGTCAATGTTGTTAAAATGACCATACTACCCAAGACAATCTACAGATTCAATGCAACCCCTATCAAATTAACAGCGGCATTTTTCACAGAAGTAAAACAAATTAGTATTAAAATTTGTATGGAAACACAAAAGACTCCAAATAGCCAGTAAAGAATCTTTAACAGAGCTGGACAAATCATGCTCCCTGACTTCAGACTATACTACAAAGCCACAGTAATCAAAAAAGTATGGTACTGGCACAGAAACAGACATATAGATCAATGGAACAAGATAGAAAACCCAGAAATATACCCACACACTTGTGGTCAATTAATCTACAACAAAGGAGGCAAGAATATACAATGGAGAAAAGACAGTCTCTTCAATAAGTGGTGCTAAGAAAACTGGACAATTACATGTAAAGGAATGAAATTAAGTTCTCTAACCATATACAAAAATAAACTCAAAATGTATTAAAGACCTAAATGTGAGACCAGATACTATAACATTCCTAGAGGAAAACATAGGCAGAACACTCTTTGACATAAATCGCAGCAATATTTTTTTGGATCTGCCTCCTAAAGTAATGGAAATAAAAGCAAAAGTAAACAAATTGGACCTAATTAAACGTAAAAGATTTTGCAGAGCAAAGGAAACCAGAAACAAAATTAAAAACAACCCCCTGGGACTTCCCTGGTGGCGCAGTGGTTAAGAATCCTCCTGCCAATGCAGGGGATACGGGTTCAAGCCCTGGTCTGGGAAGATACCACATGCCACAGAGTAACTAAGCCCATGTGCCACAAATACTGAGCCTGCTCTCTACAGCCCACGAGCCACAACTACTGAGCCTGTGTGCCACAACTACTGAAGCCCACGCACCTAGAGCCAGTGCTCCACAACAAGAGAAGCCACTGCAATGAGAAGCCCATGCACTGCAATGAAGAGTAGCCCCCGCTCACTGCAACTACAGAAAGGCTGCGTGCAGCAACGAAGACCCAACACAGCCAAAAATTAATTAATTAATTAAAAAGAAAAAGACAACCTACAGAATGGGAGAAAATATTTGCAATCAATGTGACTGGCAAGGGCTTAATTTCCAAAATATACAAACAGCTCATACAGCTCAACATCTGAAAAAAAACAAACACCCCAATCAAAAGATGGGCAAATGACATAAATAGACATTTCTCTAAAGAAGACATACAGCTGGTCAAAAAGCACATGAAAAGATGCTCAAAAAGGCTAATTATTAGAGAAATGCAAAACAAAACTACAGTGAGGTATCACCTCACACCAGTCAGAATGGCCATCATCAGAAAGTCTGCAAAGAGTAAATGATAGAGAGGGTATGGAGAAAAGGGAACCCTCTTGCACTGTTGGTGGGAATGTAAATTGGTGCAGCCACTATGGAGAACAGTATGGAGGTTCCTCAAAAAACAGGGTTACCATACGATCCAGCAATCCCACTCCTGGGCATATATCTAGAAAAGATGAAAACTCTAATTTGAAAAGATACATGCACCTCTATGTTCATAGCAGCACTATTTACAATAGCTAAGACATGGAAGGAACCTAAATGTTCATCGACAGATGAATGGATAAAGAAGATGTGGTACATATACACACAGTGGCACACTGTTCAGCCATAAAAAAGAATGAAATACTGCCATTTGCAGCAGCATGGATGGACCTAGAGATTATCATGCTGAGTGAAGTCAGTCAGACAGAGAAGGACAAATATATGATATCACTTATATGTGAATCTAAAAAAAGTAATACAAGTGAACTTATTTATAAAACAGAAATAGACTCACCAACATAGAAAACTTATGGTTACCAAAGGGGAAAGGAGGGGAGGAATAAGTTCAGAGTTTGAGATTAACAGATACACACTACTATATATAAAATGGATAACTAACAAGAATCTACTGTATTGCACAGGGAAATATACTCAATATCCTGTAATAACCTATAATGAAAAAGATTCTGAAAAAGAATATATATACACAAATACGTATAAATGAATTACTTTGCTGTAACCTGAAAGATGACATTGTAAATCAACTATACTTCAATTAAAAAAAAACCAACAAAATGTGTAAATATTCCAAATCCATCAAGTGGTGAATGGATAAATAAAAAGTGGTATATTCTTACAATGGGATACTATTCAACAATAAAAAGAATGAATTCCTGACATATGCTAAAGCATAGATGGACCTCAAAAGTACTATGCTTATTGAAAGAGGCTAGACACAAAACGATTACACATTTATATAAATCCATTATATGATATGCCCAAAAGGAAAACCTATATAGAAAGTAAGCAAATTAGTGGCTGCCTCAGGCTGGTGATGGGAAGAGGAACTGACGCAAATGTCACAAAGATCCTCTTGGGGTGATGGAACCCTTCTAAAACTGGATTGTGATGATGGTTACACAACATAAAGTTACTAAAAAAAAACAAAATCACTGAATTGTACACTTAAAATAGGTGGATCCTACTGACATCATAGTACAATAAAGCCGTTAAAAAGATAATATAATATTAATAAATTTATGCCAACATATTTGACAACTTAGATGAAACAGATATATTTCTTGAAAAATAATCTACTCAGAAGTGACACAAGAGGGTTTCCCTGGTGGCACAGTGGTTGAGAGTCCGCCTGCCGATGCAGGGGACGCGGGTTCGTGCCCCAGTCGGGGAGGATCCCACGTGCCACGGAGCGGCTGGGCCCGTGAGCTGTGACCGTTGGGCCTGCGCATCTGGGGCCTGTGCTCCGCAGCGGGAAGGGCCACAACAGTGAGAGGCCTGCGTACCGAAAAAAAAAAAAAAAAAAAAGTGACACAAGAAAAAAGGTCTGAATTAGTCTGTAACTGTTAAAGGAATTAACCCTCACATTTTAAAACCTTCCTTCAAAGAAAACTCAACGTCTAGATAGCTTCAAAGGTGAATTCTTCCCAACATTTAAGGAACAAATAAAATGATCTCACATAAATTCTTTTAGAGAACAGAGAAAAGAGTGCAAACTTCTCAACTCATTTTATACGGCCAGCAGACCTCTAATCCCAAATCAGATAGGAACACAACAAGAAAAGAACATTACAAGCAAATAACTCATAGAATCAAAATTCCTAACAAAATATTAACAAACTGAATCTAGCCATGCATAAAAAGTATAACATAGCCTGACCAAATGAGGGTTCCTTCAGCTGTGCAAGATACCGATTCAGAAATCCCTGTCATATTAACAGAATAAAGGAGAAAAGCCATTATCACCTCAAAATGAAGAAAAGGTATACGGTGAAAATCTATTCAGTGTAAAATACCATCAACAAACTAGGAATAGAAAGAAATTTAATCTAATAATCATAATCTACAAAATACGTACAGGTAGCATCATACTTTATGGTAAAACACTGAGTACTTGCTCTCTGAGGACCAGAACAGCACTGTCCAGCAGAATTTCTTGTGACGACTAAAATGCTCTATATCTGCACCATCCAATACGGTAGCCACTAGGCACCAGTGTCTACTGAACACTTCAAAGGTGACTAGGCACTGACTTTTCTATTTTATTTAATTTTAATTAATTTAAATGTAAAGAGCATGTGTAGCTAATGGCTACCTGTTGGATAATAAAGACTGTCTGGTCTTTGTCCCAGGTTCCTGCGATGGAGCTTCCTTTGTAGTTCGTGGTGGGCCCCTCCTGAGTTTACGGAACACGTAACTCATGGTGGGCTCCTGGAGTCTCCAGGTGGGCACTGCCCATGCTGGAAGTTCCAACCATTTGCTTGGAGGGTTGGGGCTTTGAGGCAGACGCTATCAGCCCAACCTCCAGGCTGGAGGCTGAGTTCAGTCACATGGCTGTGATTTTATCAATCACACCTACAAAATGAATACCCAGTAAAAACTCTGGATACTGCTGCCTCATGTTAGCTTCTTGGGTGGTAAACAGACATGGGCCAAGAGGGTGATGTGCCCTGATTCCATGGGGAGAGGGCGCAGAAGCTCCATGTTTGGGACCCTGCCAGACCTCACCCTGTGTGTCTCTTCATTTGGCTGATCCCAACTTGTGTCCTTTATAATAAAACTGCAGGGGCTTCCCTGGTGGCGCAGTGGTTGAGAGTCCGCCTGCCGATGCAGGGGACACGGGTTCGTGCCCCGGTCCGGGAAGATCCCACATGCCGCGGAGCGGCTGGGCCCGTGAGCCATGGCCGCTGAGACTGCGTGTCCAGAGCCTGTGCTCTGCAACGGGAGAGGCCACAACAGTGAGAGGCCCGCGTACAGAAAAAAAAAAAAAAAAATGCAGTTTTAAGTATAGCACTTTCCTAAGTTCTGTGAACAATTCCAGTGAACCTGAGGGGGTCATAGGAACCCCTCAAATTTGCAGCCTATTGGTCAGAAGTGCAGGTGGCCTGGGGACCCCGAAACTTACAGCTGGCAACTGAAGTGAAAGCACTCTTGTTGGGGATGGTGCCCTCACCCTGCAGAGTCTGCACTAACTCCAGGTGACTGGTGTCAGAGGTGAGCAGCTGTGATATGCTATGTAGTGGACAGTGCAGGCCTAGGGCGAGGCAAGGGTGTTCCCAACGCCACCTCTAGTCCACAAGGTACTGCAGGTACAGTACTGGCCAGGAGGTCAGTACAATATAATGCAAGGAAAGAGTATAAATATTGAAAGGAAGATGTAAAACTGTCATAGATGGTATGACTGCATAAAGAAAATCCAAAAGACCTTAAAACAATTAGAATTAGTTAACTGTGGATATTCTTCTTTCATAAACATCAAAACTAGTCAACTGGTCTCACAAAGATAAGCTACAATGTAGAACCTTCAACTATATCAATGAACTTCTCACACTGTTACATTAAAATATATTGTTTTATCTTCCTCCTTAAATGGATCATTTACCCACTAATGATTTTATAAATCATGCATTGGTCATGTGGAAAACGCTGGTTCCCTGAGTTTACATCTTCTCATAAAAAAATGGCTTTACCAGTTAATTCTGTAAACATTTAATGCAGAAATAATTCCAATTTTACTAAACTCTTATAGAATATGGAAGCAACTTTTGATAAACTTTTTGATACTAACATGACCTTGATAACAAAATCCAATAAGGGTATTGCAAGAAGGGAAAAGCAAAGGCCTATTTACACATGAACACTGATGTGAAAATCCTAAACAATGTTACCAAACTACTATATTAAGCAAAACATAAAGAAAAAAATATATCAAGCCCAAGCTGGAGTTTATCCCAAAAATTCAAGGTTGATTTAACATTTTTTTAAAAAGTCACGGATATTTACTACTTTAACAGATTAAGAAAAAACATAGTATCACCTCGATAGATGCAGATAAAGCATATCTGTAAATGGAAGAATGTATATAACAAGAACTACAGATAACAGAAAAATCCAACAGAGTTAGATGAAAAAGCACATTTACAGTTTTCAAAAAGGACTAGATTTCATAAGAATATAGAAGTATGAAAAAGAACAAACAGATGAAACAAAGAACAAATGAACACACCAAAAATTGAAAAATAATCAACAATTATTTGTTATAGAAAGTCTCATCAAACTAGGAAGTCAGTGGAATTTCTTTTTACTAAAAAAAAAGTATTGCTGATATTTTTATAAACATGGAAAATCTAAACAAATCTAAAGAAGAATTATTAGAATTAGTAAATGGGCTTACAAAGTTCCTGAATACCAAGTCAATATGCAAAAATCTAGTATATTTCCATGTTTTGGCAACAAACACTTTTAAAACTAATGACTAAATTTTAAGATACTAATTGCAGTTCTGGGGCAGAAAATGTACAAACTGACCCTTGATATATCTTGGCATGCTAGAAAGCTGCATTCTAGTTAATAAAGAAATGTTACAAGGAGGGTGTTACTATTTTGCAGCCCCTAATGAAATAATCCATCTGGGCATCGATCATTTAAAGCCATCAACAAGGGACTTCCCTGGTGGTCCAGTGGTAAAGAACTGCCTTCCAATGCAGTGGACGCGGGCTCGATCCCTGGTCGAGGAACTAAGATCCCACGTGCCACGGAGAAACTAAGCCCGTGCGCCACAACTACTGAGCTCATGCGCCTCAATGAGAGAGCCCTCATGTTGCAAACTACAGAGCCCACGCACCCTGGAGCCTGCCCAGCACAACCAGACAGAAACCCGATCAGACCGAGCGCCCTAACAAAAAGATCCCACATGCCTCAACAAAGAGCCCGTGTGCCACAACTAAGACCCAACACAACCAAAAAAAATAAGGAGAATAAAGCCATCAGCAAGACAAAGAGAGACAAGTGGGCTTTATGCACCTCCTGAAAGAAGTACAACCACAACCTCTGAAGCACTCTTGCCAAAAAGTCACACTTAAATCTGATCAAGCCTCAAAGTGGAACCTCCTGTGGTGATGGAAATTTTCTTTACCTGTGCCACCTAATTTGTGGCTGTCCAGTCTGTGGCTACGGAGCACTTGAAACGTGGCAACTGTGACAAAGGGATTTCATTGAATTAACTTAAGTTCAAACAGTCATATGTGGCCGGTGGCTTCGGGACTGGAAAGCGCAGCTCTGAATCTACCAATTCACAGGAAACACAGATGGCAGAACACACCAACAACACTGGGGGGTTTAATCAGTCAAACGAGGACATTATCCACCACGCCACTTAGTCAAAGCCTTCAGACCGTGGGAAACTACAGATAAACGGCCTGTCTTCCTCAACAGATAGTTTGGACAGAAAAAAATAGGCAGAGCCAAGATTCAGAGGCAGATCAATCAACTGCACTGTATGAACTTTACTTAGATTCTGATTCAAACAGAGGACAGTTTATGAGACAACTGGAAATTTGATAATGGCTGGATTTGGTGATATTGAGAAGCTACCTCAATTGGAGAGAAGGCTGCAATTGCTAAGTGACAGAAGCAAAACACAAATGAGTATACACAACAGCAGACAAAATCAAATGGCAGTGTTTAAGGATAAACACTTAGGAGTAAAATTATACAGAAAAGCAAGGAAATCGTTACAAAAGATGGAGTCCTGGCTCCGTCTGTCAGGAGGGAGAAGTTGTGATTGGGAAGGGGGCACAGGAAGGGCCTCATTTGGGCTGGGAATGCTCTATTTCTTGAAATGAAATGGTGGCTTCATGGGTATTCATTTGATAATACATTAAGCTGTACTTTTACATTTTATGAACTTTTCTCCATGTGAATTCTGCTTCACAACTAAAGAGGTAAATAAATAATTTAAATAATTACGGGGACTAAACTCTGCTTTGGCATTTTCCCCGTGGGTCACACTCTGTGGAAAACTATGAAAAATGGCTATACCATGTATTTATTACAATCTTTCTCCTAAGAACATTACCTACTATATCATTTATTCAAAGGCTTCACCAAGGAATGACCAAGAAACATTTACTTTCTATGAAAAATCAGTTTGCTTTTTTCTTTGGATAATGCAATTCATATAAACATACTCATTACACCTGTCAAAAATTTGAGAACCAGGTTTACAGCTCAAATTCAATAATTATGTAGGACAGTAAGGCTTATAAAAATTGAAACTTTAAGAATTTCTCGGGCTATCCTGGTGGCGCGGTGGTTGAGAGTCTGCCTGCCGATGCAGGGGACACGGGTTCATGCCCCGGTCCGGGAAGATCCCACATGCTGCGGAGCGGCTGGGCCCGTGAGCCATGGCCTCTGAGCCTGCGCGTCCGGAGCCTGTGCTCCGCAACAGGAAAGGCCACAACAGTGAGAGGCCCACGTACCGCAAAAAAAAAAAAAAAAAGAATTTCTCGAGGCCCTATAGTTAACATATCGCTGCTTCAATTTTGTCCCAACTTGGATCTTCCATTCTGAGGGTATTTTCCCCTGATTTCTTAACCATTTATTCTTTCCTTTTTCACTAGTGGTCTTACACACCTCTTCTAATTCCCTGGAAAAATAATGAGAAATAAACATGAACTCACCTGTAACATGGTCATTTCTGCTGCAAGATGAGTAGCAAGTCTGAGATTTGTTCTGTCCTGCAGCCTCTGCTTCTGCCCTGAAGCTCTGGTGTGAGGTCTTTTACACTAGGAATGACTTTCTGCTTCTGGGAACGCGTTTCTTATCTCACACGAGCAGCCTTATTTGTGTGGAACCAGGATCTGTGGACTTGGGGACAAACGAACTTCAACTGGTATATTCACGCTGCACCAAAAATCCTTTCCTCTCTTACTAGGAACTAGGAATTCATGATCATCTAAGGCCAGACTGTGTTTCCTATATAACTGAAACAGGACTACCAGGGACAGAAACAGAATGTAACGTAAAAGAACAGCAAAAGTCTCTACACACAAATAAAGAAGGACCAGAAGTAAGTAATTCTGAGATCCAGTCAGCGTGCACTGAGGACAGTGCGGAACAGGTGCTGTGAAGGACATGACAGCTCTGTGTTAGGCAGATGGAATTTTGGAAAGCTTATGTGATTTGTATTATAACCGATCTGAGTTTCAATCAACCCTTTCCCTTTGCTGGCTTTGTGACTTTGGGGAAAAACGAATAGGAAACTAAGGCTCATTTTTCTGAGCCTTAGTTTACTATTAAAATTTTCTATAACTTTCCTAATTTATGTCTGCCAATCCTATCATTTTCTGAAGGAAGTGTGTTAAACTCTCCCAGTATGATTACAGATTGGTCAGTTTTTCCTTGCAATTCTGTTGATTGTATGCTTAAAGCTATGTTGTTTGATGCACAGAGGTTATATACTTCTGGAGGATTACTCTTTAATCATTATGTAATGCCACAGGGATTCTGAGGAATAAATAAGATATTAAAAGCAAAGTGACTAGTTCCTTGTAATAATAATAGCTAACATCTGAGTGCTTTCTATATATAAGACAAAATACTAAGCACTTTACAATTTAACCCTCACAGACAACCCAAAAGGCATTTAACAAAATCTCCATCTTATAGAAAGAAAACTGAGACTTAGAATGTGCCCATAATTGCACAATTATTAAACATCAGAAATGGAATGTTATTTCTCTTTCTTGCTACCTCTTGTTCAAGGTATTTAGTACCAAAATCATGTCAGTTGTGTGTATTCATGTACACATATGTACACACACACACACACACACACACACACACCCCATATATCCTGGAATTAGCTCTTATTTCCATGCATTCGGTCCCCTTAGTTCCACAGAAATACAAATGAAGAACAGCCTGCTCATCCCTACGACTAAAAAGCAGCACTTAAAACACCAAGCTCTTCCCTTTCATGTCTTCCTGTGATTCAACCTTCAGTGCCAACTCAGAAACACATATTGAAGTTCCTCCTGGTTACATAAGAAATGATTCCTTTATATATCTTAAATTGTGAAAATATACTCATCTTAGAACTGGAGCTGGTGCACATCAGCACTAAACAAATATAAGCCATAATTATTATTACAAAAGTAAAACATGATGGCAAAACTTAGAAATGTATGTAAGCTAAATAAGAAACAACTATAACCTATGACCACACATAACCACTCTTAAGAGGTATATGGTCACATTTAAAAACTGTTTTTGTTTTCTTCCCGCTATGCAAAGCATCTTTCCAGATCAACAGACATAGTTCTGTTAATATCAACAACTTTCTTATTTAAACAAATAAAAAGGTAGAAAGTCAAATCTACGCATAACAGAAAAAAATACATAAAACATGCAGAAATATACTTGACAAGAAATATGTAAGGTTCATAGGAAACAAACTAAAAACACCAATGAGGACTGTAAGAAGAGACTTCATACACGCACAATTTGGTCTTGTCCTGGGACAGAAAGATTTCATACACTAAAAAGAAGTCAGCCCCGAATGATTTACATCTTTAGTCAACTCCAATCACAATTTCAAAAAGCTTTTCTTTAACAAGCAATTCTAAAGTTCACCTGGAAAAAAAAAGGTTCAGGAACAGCTTTGGACACTTTTGGAAATACAAAATAATGAGTGTAAACAGGCCCATGTAATATTAACATATATTATAAAATTATATGATCAAAAAAGTATTTCACACTGCCTCCAGAAAAGATATATAGATAAATAAAGCATAATGTTCCAAATATGTCAGGATTTACATGCAATAAATGTGGCATTTCACACGCAAAGTAAAACTGGATTACTTAATGAACAGAAGTGATTAACACTTGAGAGAAAATAAAGCTAGTTATCTATCTCATACATTACAACAAACTACAGTTGACCCTTAACAACTTGGGGGTTAGGGGCACCGACCCACCCGCTCATTTGAAAATCCTCATATAATTAATTTTATAGTTGGCTCTCTGAATCAGAGGTTCCATATCTGCAGATTCAACCAACCTCTGATCGTATAGTACTGTAGTATTTATTGAAAAAAATCTGCATATAGGTGGACCCATGCAGTTCAAACCCGTATTGTTCAAGGGTCAACTGTACTTCCAGATGGATCAGAATTTAAAATAATGGAAACCATGATAGTACCTAAAGAAAACACAAGTGAATATTTGTATAATTTGGGGGGAAATGTCTCCCCAACACATGATACAAAGGCAAAAGCCATACAATTTTATTTAAAGTCAATAAATTTAACCATTAAAAAACATAATAAACTCTGAGTGGTTCAAGAAAAATCAATCATAACACACACACACACACACACACACACACACACACACACACACACACACCCCAGACAAGGAAAATATACCTACAGTGAATATGTCATTTCCTTTGCATTATGCTTTCACGTCATCTCATGTAATAAAAACTCCAGCATTCTGACAAATAAAACTACGTTTACATTCAAACTATTTCCTTAAGCAGACAGCCAAATTCACAGTGTGATTTTTAAATTTCCTTTGTAGCTTTGTCAAAAACTATTTGGTAAAGTTTAGCTGGATTTCAGCAAAAACTTATCAAGAGTAGAGACACTTATGTCAAAATGAGGCAGATTTTGCGGAGAACACAGAGTTGAGAATGTGAGGTGGAGAGAGTGTGACACGCCATCAGTGTGGTAGTTTTAAAATATTTCTGATATGTTACTTGCTCAGCACAGTACAGATTGGACCTTATTTTCCTTTAATTTAAACAAATGTTTTTGCAAGTTGGCCCTGGAGGGAGAAGTTCTCCCTGAATGCTCTTACACTTGACTCTTATGTGTCCCTTCAGCAAATGGAAGCCTATGCCCGCCCTTCGTTGTACAATTTGGCCCCTTTTAACTTCACGGGTGTGACTTTACCTCGGCAGTTTCCTGCAGAGCACTGCAGCTCTCCCTGCCACGCACTCACATTTACCTGCAGGGGGAAGGGGCACCTTCATCATCATCCTGTAGCTCCCACTCAGCATCAAATTCTGTGGAATTGTAAAGGAAAGGGAAAGAATAATGAAAAAAATAACGTTAACTTACACCTACTATGTGCCAGATGTTCTACACACCGTACTGTCTTTTTTGATGCATTCAGTTCTCATCACAGAAGAAGCAATAAGGCACAGAAGTTCAATAACATGCCAAAAACAGATGACATACACAGGAAGTGGTCCCATGCAGCCCACTCCAGAGCCTGTGATCACAGGCCCTCAACAACTGTATTGGGAGGGGTGGGCAAAGGCCTTGGGAGTCCCTGTTTATAGTCCCAGTACATGCATGACACAGTCCCCTGTCCAGAAATGACGGCACCAGGGCAGACTAAGGAGAATAACAAGAGAAAGATAAGTTCTCAGGGGCAAGTTGAAAAAAACTCCCCTGGTAAGTTTAGACTCCCCACTTGGGACAAAATATTTCAACTTAACATATCTGTGATATACTCTAAGGGCTTTAAGCAGGATTTGCAGCATATTCCCAATTTTGTTTTTTTTTTAAGGGAACACGTAAGGTGTATTCAAAACATACACACGTTTCTTGACTAAAATAAATGCACAAAATGTTAGCAGTGACTGTTTCCTGTTGATGGGATCATCAATGATTTTCATTTGAATCTGTTTATCAAGATACTCTAAATTAACTACAGTGAACATATTTTAAAGTCCTTAACCCAAGAAAACAGGCAAACAGAGCAGTTTCAGTCCAGCACCACGTGGTTGAAACAAAGTAAACAGTAAATAATAAATAAAATAAACTAATGTACGTTTTGATGACAGCAAAATCCACCGGACTAGGGCAGAAAAGGTCACTTCTTTCCACTCCCTCATTTTCAGATGAAAAGCCTGAGACCCAGAAATCGTGAGTGGGCTGTTGTTCCAAGGAGCAGACGTGGGTCCAGGTCAGAGACAAGGCCTTGAGCCAACGCGGTGCCCACCCCGCCAGCTACTGTCGAAGTTGTTTGGGGGTTCTCGTTAGTGGAGGAGCCTCGGAAAAACCCTCCTGATAAAGGCAGAGGCGAGCTGAGTCGAGCCAGGGTGGAGGGGCGGCACAGGCCCTGCAACCGGGTCACGCCGCGGACACTCTCCGGACGCTCCCCAACCCGCCGTGGGTCCCGACGCTCCGACCGCGCCCGCCCAGGGCTCGCGGCCGGGGACGCGCAAGGACGCGCGTGGGAAGGTACCGCCTTTCCAAGCCGGCCTGGCAGGAGAGGCCCCGGCGCGACAAGCACCAGCCGCGGCGGACGAAGGGCCTCCCCCCGACCCCGGGGGCCACCGGTGCCCACCGCACCCCAGCCGCGGAGACCCCGGCCCAAGCGCTGACGCCCACTGGCGGCCCTGGCACGACCCCCAGCCCCTCCCCCGCGGGCTCCCTCAGCCCCAGCCGCCCGCCCCACAGGAATCCAGCCCCGGAACCTGCAAAAAAGGCCTCGGAACCACGGACGCGCGGGACCGGGACCCACGTGACCGCCCCGCCCCCAGCCTTTGCGCGACCCGGGCGGACCCGCGGGATCCCAACGGCCCGGAGCTGGGCTGGGGGACCGCGCGCGCGCACGAGCACGCGGACACGCGCCCACTGGCCTCTCACGTGGCGGTGGACAAAGAGAAGGGCCAAACCTGCTGCGTGCGCTGCGCGTGCGCGAAGGGGAGGAGCCTCCGAACTACACTTCCCAGGAGGTTCCGCGGCACGCGGCGTGCGGCGTCGTAGGAGCGCTGGTCGCCTAGAGACCCGGGCGGCCGCAGCCAGAGCGAGCTGTGGGAATGCGCGTTCGGGGGAAACGTAAAGATTTTTAAAAGACCGGGATTTTTAAAAGACCGGGAATCCAAATCAGGTAGATTGATAAGAGATAGGTAGGTATGTAGACAGATGTGATAGAGAATTGGCTTAATAATTCAATTGAAGAAAACAAAAAAAAGCAGATAGTAAAGAAGAAAAAAAGGGACGTTAATTTATAATTCAAGGGTTGTGGGGGGAGTTATTATAAGTCACTCTAATTTTTTTAAAAAGAGAGTGAAGGGTAGGATGAAAAAAGAGGAACAATCACAGATACATAGGAGATTGAATGAAAATCCGATTTGTGTTAATAAATTCGAAATTCTCTGTGACACAAATGATTCTTAAAGGGTAGATGTGTCAAATTCGACCCAAGAAACAAAAAAACCCAAACGTGAATGGAAATGAAGACAATGTCAGAGATTCTCCGCCGAAAAGCATCGTTCGCTGAGTTTCCAGTGAATTCTTTCAAACATCCAGTGATCAGAGAACTCGTATTTAAATAGTTACAGAGGAATTAGAAGGGAAATTTTCTATTTATGTAATAGCATAAAGGCACCAAAATGGACAGATGTATAATTTGAAAAAGAAGCGCAGAAAAAACTTGATTATTGCTGGCCATGCAAAAATACTTAGAAATTATCAACAGATAATTTTTGTCGACTATTTGGCAATATTTTGTAGAAATAGAAATATTTTTGTAGAATAGAAACCAAGTGGATTCTATTCTAGAAATATGAGGGTGATCAGGATATACGTTAATATAAATAAATAAGGGGAAATAGAATTACCTCAATAAAATGAAAAAAAATTTTAACTGAAAAAATACATTCTAGACTTTAAAAAATAAATCAGAAAAAGTTGTTTCCTAATTTAGCCTTATGAAAGATACAGACTTCAGCCATGAAGCCAGTATGCTGCTTAAGTGTGGAATATAAGGAGGAGTTAGGAACAAGGTACTAATACCAAGGATTAAGATTTTTAAAACTGGACTAACGCTGGGACTTCCCTGGTGGTCCAGCGGTTAGGACTCCACACTCCCACTGCAGGGGCACATGTTCAATTCTGGTCGGGGTACTAAGATCCCAGGGCCATGCAGCACAGCCAAAACAAAAACAAAAACACACAAATAAAATGGACTAATACTTAAAATGCAGAACACAAGTGTTACCGAGTCCAAGCTCATGCCAGTCACCACACGACAGGCCAGTAAATCCAGAGGTGATTTGCTGGGGCAATGAATAGCAACTTTATTTGGAAGGTCAGCAGACGGAGAAGATGGTGGACTAGTGTCCCAAAGAACCATCTTCCCCGAGTTAGAATTCAGGCTTCTTTTATACTAAAAGGGGAGAAGTGTGGTTGGTTGCTGCAAACTTCTTGGTGCCCGAACCTTTGTTCTTGCAGCTGTCCACCTAGGTCCAGTCACAATGTTCCTTTAAACCCCCAACAAGACAAATGTTATTCTCTGTTCTGCAACTTTTTATCTCTATATGAATGGAACAGTGTTACACTCTTAATAAGTATAGCAATGTTATACTCTTAATTCTCAGAACCTTGAGAATGGGTTATCCTGTAAATTTCAGGCTATAGGCCGCACTCTTAACTTGTATTATGGCAAAAGCAATAGAATACAAAGCTTAAAGTAAAAGAAACAGATCAAATATGGAGTCAGATTTGTTCTTCCCTATGATACAAGGATGTGTGTCAATGATCACTGCTGAAGTAAACACATTTTTACACCATTTGGGGGTTTTACTCCATAAATTGTCAATTATCTTTGCCATTTTTCTATTGTATTATCTATTCATGGAGACGAATGTATATTGTTTACTAATCCTCAGCATGCAATATATATTTTAATTTTTTTCTGTCTATTCCTGGTCTTTGAACTTTGTTTATAAAATTGTTGATCCCATAGGCTTTATTTTTGACATAAATTTTATCTAGCTTTTCCTTTATGGTTTCATTTGTGGTTTACTTATGTGTCTTGTTAAGAAATCTTTCTACATCCTGGTATCACAAAAGATTTCCACGTATTATCTTCTAATAGTTTCAGCATTTTGCTTTCATATTTAGTGGTTGGAATCTGTCTGAAGTTGTCTGTGTGCATGCAGTGCAGATATTGATATAATTTCATTTTTTAAAAAATATTTATTTATTTAGTTGCACCAGGTCTTAGTTGCGGCTCATGGGATCTTCACTCCCGCGTGTAGGATCTTCATTGCAGCATGCAGGATCTTTAGCTGCAGCATACAAACCCTTAGTTGCGGCATCTGGGATCTAGTTCCCTGACCAGGGATTGAACCCGGGCCCGCTGCATTGGGAGCTCGGAGTCTTAGCCACTGGACCACCAGGGAAGTCCCTGTAATTTCATTTTCTTTCCACATGGGAAGCCAATTTCCTCATCCCAAGTGCATTCAATTGCTAGAGCTGCCATAACAAAATATCGCAGACTGGGTGGGGTAAACACCAGAAACGTATTTTGTCACAATTCTGGAGACTAGAAGTCTGATTGCACGGTGTTGGCAGGTTTGATTTCTTCGAAGGTCTCTCTCCTTGGCTTGCAGGTGGCCGTCTTCTCCCTGTGTCTTCACATGGTCCTCCCTCTGTGCGTGTCTGCGTGCTAATCTCTTTTTCTTTTTTTCCTCCAGTTTTATTGAGGTATAATGGACATACAGCACAGTATAAATTTAAGGTGTACAGCATAATAATTTGACTTACTTAACCCATGGAATGATGACCACAATAAATTCAGTGAATATCCATCATCTCATATAGATACAAATTTAACGAAATAGAAGAAATTTGTTCTCGTTGTGATGGGATCTCTTAGGCTTTACTCTCTTAGCGACTTGGAGCAGTATTCACAACACACAGCGGTGCTGATTCTGTTTACCGCGTCACACATTCCATCCCTAATACCTATTTGTCTTATAACTGGAAGTTACAAGTTAGTTTCTGTTACACAACACAGTGATTCTGTTACTGACTTCAGTCCTTGGACACTTTAATAAACAGAAATTGGTAAGTGGCCAGAGGAGGAATTCGGGCAAGGCTTTACTGGGACTCACAAACAAGAACAAGAACAACTCACAAACAAGGCTTTACTGGGACTCTGCAAAACAAGAAACAGGTGCCCTTGCTTGCTTTCTGAGGTGGGGCAAGCTTGTCCCCTAAATAGGGTGAGGGTAGGGGCAGATCAGTGGGTCGGGCCAGAGGAGTGGCATAGGTGGTCTGCCCACCCCCTTGGTGCACGGATCATGCACATTACCCTGCTTTTGCTCACTGCACCTCAGAAGCATCAGGTGGTTTTTAGCCTTTTAGTATCTTATTCATAATTTGCCCCAATTGTGCATGCATGCAGTTATTTTTAGTTCCTTATGGTTTCTTTGTATCTGTTGCTCAAGGAAATGTTTGTCCAGGTGCCAGCACTGCAGCAAAGGGTCCCAGATCCCAGGTGCCAGCCTGTCTCAATTCTATATTTCTATACATTTCAAAATGATCACCACAATAAGTTTAGCTACCATCTGTCACTATACAGCACATTATATAATTATTGATTATATTCCACCACGGTATATTTCATAACCATGACTGATTTATCTTGTAACTGGAAGTTTGTACCTCTTAATCTCCTTCACCTATTTCTAGCCTCCCCCACCTCCCTTGCCATTTTGAAGGAAAAAAAACCCCATTAGAACTAATAAATGAATTCAGAAGAGTGGCAGGACAAGATTAATATACAGAAAATCTGATGCTTTTATATGCACTAATAATTAACTATTGGAAAGAAAAACAAGAAAACAGTCCGGTTTAAAATTATATCAAAGGAGCTTCCCTGGTGGCACAGTGGTTAAGAATCCGCCTGCCAATGTAGGGGGCACAGGTTCGAGCCCTGGTCTGGGAAGATCCCACATGCTGCAGAGCAACTAAGTCTGTGCGCCACAACTACTGAGCCTGTGCTCTAGAGCCCAAGAGCCACAACTTCTGAGCCCACGTGCCACAACTACTGAAGCCAGCACACTTAGAGCCCGTGCTCCGCAACACGAGAAGCCACTGCAATGAGAAGCCTGTGCACTGCAACAAGGAGTAGCCCCTGTTCGCCGCAACTAGAGAAAGCCCACGTGCGGCAACAAAGACCCAACGCAGCCAAAAATAAATAAATAAATAGATAGATTTTAAAATAAAATAAAGTTATATCAAGAGACTTCCATGGTAGCCCAGTGGTAAAGAAACCACCTTCCAATGCAGGGAACGCAGGTTCGATCCCTGGTCAGGGAACTAGGTTCCCACATGCGGCGGGGCAGCTACAACTGCACACCACAACTACAGAGCTCATGCGCCTCAACTAGAGGGCCCATGTGCCACAAACTACAGAGCCCATGTGCCCTGGAGCCTGCATGTCACAACCAGAGAAGAGAAGACCTACGCCAGAGCTAGAGAGAAGACTGCGCGCCCCAACGGAAGTTCCCACATGCCTCAACGGAGATCCCGCGTGCCACAAATAAGACCTGACTCAGCCCAAAAAAATAAATAAATAAAATAAAATTATATCAAAAAGAGTAGGGCTTCCCTAGTGGTGCAATGCTTGAGAGTCCGCCTGCTGATAGAGGGGACACAGGTTCATGCCCTGCTCTGGGAATATCCCACATGCCGCGGAGTGGCTGGGCCCGTGAGCCATGGCCGCTGAGCCTGCGCGTCCAGAGCCTGTGCTCCACAACGGGAGAGGCCACAACAGTGAGAGGCCCACGTACCACAAAAAAAAAAAAAAAAAAAAAAAGAGAGAGTAAAATACCTAAGAATAAACTTTACCAAGGATGTGAAAGACCTATACGCTGAAAACTATAAAAGACTGATGAAGGAAATTGAAGAGGATGCAAAAAAATGAAAAGATATCCTGTGTTCATGGATTGGAAGAATTAATACTGTTAACATTACACAGTGCAGATTTAATGCAATCCCTATCAAGATATCCATGACATTTTCCACAGAACTAGAACAAATAATCCTAAAATGTATATGGAAACACAGAAGACCCCAAATAGCCAAAACAATCTTGAGAAAGAAGAATGGAGCTAGAGGAAGCACGCTCCCTGACTTCAGACCATACTACAAAGCTACAGTAATCAAAACAATATGGTAGGGCTTCCCTGGTGGTGCAGTGGTTAAGAATCCGCCTGCCAATGCAGGGGATATGGGTTCAAGCCCTGGTCCAGGAGGATCCCACATGCTGCAGAGCAACTAAGCCCATGCGCCACAACTACTGAGCCTGCGCCCTAGAGTCCCTGAGCCACAACTCCTGAGCCCATGTGCCACAACTCCTGAAGCCTGCGTGCCTAGAGCCTGTGCTCCACAACAAGGGAAACCACTGCAATGTGAAGCCCACACACCACAACAAAGAGTAGCCCCCGCTTACCACAACTAGAGAAAGCCCGTGTGCAGAAATAAAGACCCAATGCAGCAAAAAATAAATAAATAAATAAATAATTTTAATTAAAAAAAAAACACAATATGGTAGGGTATTCCCTAGTAGTCAACTGGTTAGGACTCCACACTTTCACTGCTGAGGGCCCAGCTCAATCCCTGGTCAAGGCTACTCAGCGTAGCTCCCACCACCCCTCAAAAAATAAAAACAAAAACACCAGTATGGTACTGGGACAAAAATAGACATATAGATCAATGGAATAGGATACAAAGCCCAGAAATAAACCCACACACTTATGGTCAAATAATCTATGACAAAAGAGGCAAGAATATACAATGGGGAAAAGACTGTCTTTTTCATAAGTGGTGCTGGGAAAAATGGACAGCTATATATAAAAGAAAGTAGAATATTTTCTCATGCCATATGCAAAAATAAATTCAAAATGGATTAAAGACCTAACTGTGAGACCAGAAACCATAAAACTCCTAGAAGAAAACATAGGCAGAACACTCTTTTGCGTAAATCATAGCATATTCTTTTGGATCTGTCTCCTAAGGCAAAGGAAACAAAAGCAAAAATAATCAAATGAGATCTAATTAAACTTAAAAGCTTTTGGACAGCAAAGAAAACCATCAATCAAACGAAAAGACAGTCTACTGACTGGGAGAAAATATTTACAAATGATATGATAAGCAGTTAATATCCAAAATATATAAACAGCTTGTAAAACTCAACATAAAAAAAAAAAACTCAATTAAAAAATGGGCAGAAGACCTGAATAGACATGTTTCCAAAGAGGATATGCAGGTGGCCAATAGACACATGAAAAGAAGTTCAACATCGCTAATCATCAGTGAAATGCAAATCAAAACCAACAATGAGATATCACCTCACACCTGTCAGAATGGCTATCATCAAAAAGACCACAAATAGCAAATGTAGGTGAAGATGTGGAGAAAAGGGGACACTTGTACACAGTTGGTCAGAATGTAAGTTGGTACAGCCAGCATGGAAAACTGTATGGAGGTTCCTCTAAAAACTAAAAAGAAAAGTACCATATGATCCAGCAATTCCACTCCTTGGTATATATCTGATGAAAAGGAAAACACTAATTCGAAAAGATACATGCACCCCAATGTTCATAGCAGCACTATTTACAATAGCCAAGATATGGAAGCAATGTTAAGTGCCCATCAGTAGATAAAAGGATGAAGAAGATGTGATATATATACTGGAATATTACTCAGCCATAAAAATTAGAATGAAATCTTGCCATTTTCAACAACATGGATGGAAATATAAGGTATTATCATACCTAGTGAAATAAGTCAGAAAGAGAAAGACAAATACTGTATGTTATCACTTATCCATGGAAGCTAAAGTATGAATGAATATAACAAAACAGAAAGAGACTCACAGATACAGAGAGCAAACTAGTGGTTACCAGTGGTGGGAGGGCGGGGAGAGAGGCAAGATAGGGGGAGAGAATTAAGAGGTGCAGACCATTATGTATAAAATAAATAAGCTACAAGGATATATTGTACAGCACAGGGAATACAGCCAATATTTTATAATAATTTTAAGTGGAGTATAATCTACAAAAAATTTTAGTCACTATGTTTTACACCTGAAACTAAAGTAATATTGTAAATCAACTGTATCTCAATAAAAACAAAACATAATGAAACAAAAATATAAACAAACAGTAAAAAATAAAGTGATTATTGAGAGGTCTGTACTTATTCCCATTTTGTTATTTGTTTTCTGGTTTTTCAAATTCTTTTCTATTTTTTTCTTTTAGTTTCTTTCCTTGTGGTTTGATGATTTTATTTTGTAGTATGCTTGTGTTCCTTTCTCTCTAGTTTTTGTTATCTTTTGTAGGTTTCTGATTTGTGGTTACCATGGAGTTCATATATGTTACCTATAATGATATCCACTTGTTTTAAAATGATAGTCATTTAAGTTCAACACATTCTAAAAGATCTACATTTTTTTACTCCATTCCCCCACATTTTGTGTTTTTGATGTCATATGTTACATCTTCATATCTATCCTTAACAGTTTACTGTACTTACAGTTGATTTTACAATTTTTGTCTTTTAAGTTTCCTACTAACTTATTTAAGTGGTTGATCCTCAGCCTTTACTATACATTTGCCTTTACCAGTGGAATTTTACTTTGCCTATAAAATTCTTACTTCTTGTTTTAGCCTTTTCTTTTCCACTTAGAGAAGACCCTTTAACAGCTCTTGTTGGGTCGTTTTAGTATTGATGAACTCTTTCAGTTTTTGCTTGTCTGAGAAGTTCTATGTGAATATCACATTGTCTTACTATTCTAGCTTAATAAAAACCTCTTGTCCTCTTGTATCTAGGAGGGAAATCTCCACTGATTGTTATGCATGTTCATTATTGTCGTGTATATCTGAGACCTGTAAACATTCATGTAGATATTAGAATTTGTTTATCACATTTCAAGAAAAAAATATTTTGTTTTGATTTAAATTATATTAAATATATATTTTATAATAATTAATATTTTACGATATTGACTCTACTCCATTAAGATACTATATCTTTCAATTTTCAGTTTTTTATGAACTTTTATAGAATTTTAATTTTATTATTTTATTAATAAATTCTCAGTTTATATAGTTTTTTAAAGATTTATTCCTAGAAGGACTTCCCTGGTGGTCCAGTGGATAAGACTCTGCCTTCCCAATACAGGGGGCTGGGGTTCAATCCCTGGTCAGGTAACTAAATCCCACATGCCACAACTAAAGTTCCCGCATGCCACATCTAAGACCAGGTGCAGCAAAAGTAAATAAATAAATAAATATTTTTTAAAGATTTATTCCTAGATAGTTCTAAGTCTAAATTCAACGTTGTATCAGATGTATTCCTAAGTAGTTTATCATTCCCAGTGATATTATGAAGACAATCTTTTTTCCCCCAGTATAATTTCTTATTGCCTATTAATTGTGCTATGAACTGAATGTTTGTGTCCCTCCAAAATTCATTTGTTGAAATCGTAACCCCCAATGTTGCTGTATTTGGAGATGAGGCTTCTAAGGAAATTAAGGTTAAGTGAGGTCATAAGGTCATAACCCCGATCCCATAGGGTTAATATCCTTATAAGAAGAAACACCAGGGAGCTGGCTCTCCTGGTAATCTCAGAGAGGCTGCAGTGAGTGGTGGTGTGAAGCGAGATCTTAATTCCCTGCCCAGTAATTGAACCTGGGTAGCCTGGATGAAAACCAGGAATCCTGGACTTCCCTGGTGGTGCAGGGGTTGGGAATCCGCCTGCCGGTGCGGGGGACGTGGGTTTGAGCCCTGGTCCGGGAAGATCCCACATGCCGCAGAGCAACTAAGCCCGTGCGCCACAACTATTGAACCTGCGCTCTAGAGCCCGCGAGCCACAACTACCGAGCCCGTGTGCCACAACTGAAGCCTGAGCTCTAGAGCCCGTGCTCCTCAACAAGAGAAACCACCACAATGAGAAGCCCGTGCACCGCAGCAAAGAGTAACCCCCGCTCGCCGCAACTAGAGAAAGCCCACACGCAGCAACAGAGACCTGGCGCAGCCATAAATAGATAGATAAATAAATAAATATAAATTTATTTAAAAAAATATATAACAGGAATCCCAGCCACCACACCCCCTGGCTCTTGGCCCCAGTGAAAGACGCGTTTCTCATGGAGGCAAAACTGTAAAAACAGGTGCAAAGTTTATTAGAGACACAGCACAACAAGTGGGAGAGCACACAGAGAAACAGCTTGTTCAGTTAAGACAGAAGTAGGGCAGAGACGCACACCCGGAGAGCAAGGGTGTGGTCGTCCCCCCTAACGAGGAGGACCCCAGTAAAGAGGCGGTAAAGTCACTTATATAGGGCAGGTCTTCCAGGTCTCTGTTCACCTCTGGCCAATTATCTGGTTTCTTTCTCCGCACCTGCCCTGCCCTAGGACCCTCCCCAGCATGTGTGCGCAGCTTCTTTCCAACATGGATTCTAGCCCAGAGGCCTATGGGACGGCCTTAACATCACCTATTATGGGGTGGTGCCCCCTCCTTTTGACACCCACGGAGGCTTTCTGCGCATGTGCATTGTCTCCCTTGTCCCAAGGATGGGAAATGTATGACCTCTTGATCTATTACTCAAACAGGGGTTAGCCCCTCTCTGTTCCTGCCACGACTGTTATCTTAAGGCGTCCACAGGAGACGAAGCCTGGCTGTTTACCCGGTTTCTGTTGTTACTTCCATTTCAGAGAGCAAACAGGAGGCTGATTTTAAATGTCTAACCTGGAGCCCACCTATCTCCTATCTCAGGAACTGCGAACAGGAGACTAGTTGTAAGTGTCCGGCCTGAAGGCCACGTTTTCCTGCCCCACGAAATGTAAACGGGAGGCCAGTTGCAAATGCGTAGCTCGGGGTCCGTCTATCTCTTGCCTCACTGGCACACACACCAAGGAAACCCATGTGGGGACACAGTGAGGAGGTGGCGGCTATTCACGAGCCAGGAAGAGAGGTATCACCCAAACCGACCCTGCCGGCAACTTGATCTTGGATATGTAGCCTCCAAAACTGTGAGAAAATAAATTTCTGCTATTTAAGGCACCAAGTCTGTGGCATTTTGTCACAGGAGCCAGATCAGACTAAGAGAGATGGTGTACAGGAAGAGAACTGATTTGTACCCAGCAACAGTGCTAAATCCCTTTTCAGATCTTGCTTCTAATAACCACAATTCTTCCTCTTTCTTTCCAGTCCGTATAATTCTTAATTTTCATTTTTTGTCTTCTAGTGCATTGATTAGGGTGCCAGTTCAATGCTTAAGAGTATGAGAAGTAGGGGGGTCAACTCAGTTGTTCCTGATTTTATAATGTTTCTAAAGTTTTACTTTAAGTACGATGTTTCCTGTAGGGGTTGGTAGCTATCCTTTATTATCTTAAAAGGAAGTTAGTTTCCATTTTGAGTTTGTTAAGGACTTGATTATTAAGAATTGCTGAAATGTACTGAATATTTTTCTTTAGCTATATAGGTAGTTATGTTTCTTTATTAACCTATTTCTACATTAAGTTTAAAATGATGCATACATTAATAAAGTCTAGTATTATCTTGAACATATTATTTATTTACTTATAAGGTTGAACAATATGAAATTGTCCTTTTGTGGGCTGGTCCAGTTCCTCTTCTGCATAATAGATGACAATTTAATGGCTTATTATATCGCAGAGTTTCCTGGGTCAGAAATTCAAGACAAGCTCAGCTAGGCAGTTTTGTCTTGGGGGTCTCTCATGTGGTTGCAGTCAGGTGATGGCCGGAGCTGGAACATCCGGGTGGTGTAGGCGGCTCCTGCTCTTGCCGTAGCCTCAGGCCTCTTCACTGGTCTTTTCGTGTGAGCTGTTTGAACCTCATCACAGCACAGCAGCCTCAGGGCAGTTGGACTGCTTACCCGGCTGCTGCAATCTTCATCAGGGAGAGCTTCTGAGAACAAGGTGTGAAGCTGCATTTCCTTTCATGACCTGGGCTTGGAAGCCACACAGCTTAATTTCTGCTGCAATCTGTTGACTATGAACAAGTCACCAGCCCATCTGGATTCAAGGGGCAGGGTGCGTAGACCTCTCCTCCCTGTGGGAGGAGTGGCAAAATCACATTGCCCCTTGTAGAAGAGGATGCTGTGTGCGAGGTGTTCTTGTAGCCATCTTAGGGAAACAAAACTTACCGCAGACTGCCCTCTGGCTTTGACCATTGACTTCCGCAAACCATAACCACCTCCTGCCCCAAGACCCCAAACGTCTCATTCCATCGCGGTGTCAGGTTGAAGTCCGAGACCTCATTCTGGAAATCAGGCCCTGTGGCAGGTGAGGGTCCTCAGGACTGCTCCCCTGGGTACCGCTCTTTACGTGCTATTCTCAGTCTTCGTCTTACACACCTGAAATATGATAGTGGGGCAGACAGAGGAAGACTTCTATAGATATTCCTATTCCAAACTGGGGACAACATGAGTCCTCACACAGCAGCCGCTGGTCCACAGAAATTCCAAATCCTGTTGGGTACGTGTTACCAGTTAACTGATTAGGGTCCGGTCCTGCTCGCGTGGAGCTCTCTGTACCTCTTAGCGGCACCTTGGGGCTTGGTTCTGCCGAGCCACGCTTCCTTATCCTAAACATCCACGTTTGCCAGAGTGTCCTTCTCAGCCTCCTTCCTGCCCAGACAACGTTGGGAGCCCAAAGAGCTCTTTTTATTTTGTCCAGGGTTTGTCTTTTCAAGTTAATATGGCTGGGTTTTTTTTTTTTGTTTTGGGGTTTGTTTTTTTTTTTACAAAGTATATTTTATTTTATTTATTTTTTGTAAGACCTGCTCACTGCAGTGTTACAGAGTAGATGGGGGGATTAAAGGAGGAGTTATTGGAGAGCTCAGAACCCTGACCCTTGAACCTCAGCCCCGTAGCCACCTCCTTTGCTTCCTGGGCACCCTCTGTCCAACTGTGGTGACAGGGATGCGAAATCCCTGCAAAATGTCAAGATTGTATTTCGTGTCTTTTATAGGCTCTGCTCTGCACCTGCCCCCCTCCCTGATCTCCTAGTTTCATTGAGATC